GATCCTTGGATAAGGTTCTTTTAGGAAAAAAAATCATAACAGACTTAAAGGGATAACGATGAACATTTTTTCGAATGGTAAAAGAAATATGGTCATTTTTTATCTCAAATATGAATGCTTTCTTTAAACATCATCTATTGAACAAAAATAAGCTCATGAATCTTTATAAGAGATTGCACCTCTTCAAGTTATATTAATTTCACATCTGCTAGTAGCTAACTTCTTTTGCTCAAATAATCTTCCTAAATCAATGGGAATGAGTTCTCAAAATTAAATCCCAACATTATTGTTGTCATTGTCTAAACATCCATCGTTAGAATTCAAGAATGGGAATGAAAAGTTATAAAAGGTGACAAAGCATGGAACAATAATTGAATGAAAAAGAAAATGTAATGAAATACATTAACTTGCCTTTTATTGAAATGATAACAAGTGAAGTCATATTGCAAAAAAAAATTTCTAACATTACTATGAAAGAAATCTTAAAATGACAAGCAGCTTCCAACAGCCTTAACAACATTTTTAAAATTATGTCCTTGTGCAATTAGGCGAAGGATTTTTATCGACATCTTGCCCTCCTAATTCGTCGAAGCTCACTAAGCCTTTCTGAATCAAACTTTGCACTTTGTGGTTGAAAATTATGGCATGTTTCAGTAGAATGACCTATGTTCCCTTATGATAATCGCACATTGTACTAGCATCATACCACTTTGGATAGGGTGACTTCAATGGTTCTAGAATAACTGGAGAAACCAAGTTGTTCTTAACGAGTTTTGGGAATAACTCAGTATAAGTCATAGAGATAGGGTCAATTTATGCTCTTTCTTGGTTATTTCGAGATCTCCTTAAATTACTTGCTTGGTTGTTAAGCTTTGAAGCTGATGCATTGATATGACTAGAATCATATGCAGGTACTTGAAAGGCTGATTGGTAAGTTGATAAGTAAGCTGGTTATGGATATGGTTGGTAAGGATAAGGTGAGATATTGTTCATAGCAGGATAGTATAGGGCGTAACGTTGTGGTGGATAAGGTTGATATCCCCTGAATTATCTATCAAGGCTCACGACTTAAGCTTTAGTCTATTTCTTCTCTGGTACCTTTTTGGTTTTTCATTCTTTTAACTTGCCATTTTTAATGGCATTCTCAATTATTTCTCCTAAGATTACCATGTCGACGAAATTTTTCATGGCATTCTTTATTATCTTTTTATAATAGAAAGTTTTTAAAGTGCTAACGAACAATACAGTGGTCTCTTTCTTAGTTAACGAAGGTTGCATTTAAGAGGCTATGTCCCTCCATCTTTGAGCATATTTTTTGAATGATTCAGTTACTTTATTCTCCATATTTTATAAAAAAAAAAACGATCAGAGGCCAAGTCTATAATATGCTGGTACTGATTAATGAAGACATAGTCCATATTGCTCCAAGAATAAATGCGAGTCTTGTCTAACTGGACATACCACCTAGCAACAGAGCCCGTGAGGCTGTCTTAGAACACATATATTAATAGCTTCTCATTATTAGCATAGGCAATCATTTTTTGACAGTACATGGTAATGTGAGTCTTCAAACATTTTGTACCATTATATTTCTCAAACTCCAGCACTTTGAACTTTAAAGGAATAATAACATTCGGGACTAAACAGAGCCCAGCTGTATCCACTGAACCATAAAAATCAACTTATTCCACTGCTTGAAACCTTTCTTCTAACATGTTCATTTTTTGTTTAGCTTTTGAGGTTTCTAAAGTCTCATTCTCCTTGAGCTTTAATTTTTTTTATCCTCTAGATCATCCAAATTATGGATTGGTATTGGTTCTACTATCTTTTCAGTAAAGACAGAATTTATGTAGCTCTGATACTGCCCCGGGTTTGAAATTAATGGTATTTTAAGGTATGTGTACTTTACAGGATAGGTAAACTACTGTGGTGGTGGACCTTGTGCAGGTTGGGCTTGATGTGACCCAAAATCAGTATGGTATAATGGGTCATCCTCCTCTTGTAAGAGATGGTCTTGTTGACTAGCATTCTCTTTTATTGCCTTCCCTTTGTTTAACTTGTTCAAGGCCTCTAGAATTTTGTTTAATTCCCCTTCAAGCTTCCCTAGTACTTTCTCTATCTTTTCAAGACGATTGAAATTTTTTTGTTGAAAGTATCAATTTTTCTTAAAATAAAAACTTCCAAATGCTTTAAGGAAAAGTTGAAAGTATCAATTTTTTTAAAAACTTTATTTTAGGAAAATCATTAAAAAATAATTAAATTAAATTAAATTAAAATTAAAATTACAGAATACCAAATAATTCTAATTTAATCAATAAATAAATAAGCAATAATAATAATAATAATAAAATTAATAAATAAATGAAGAAAAAAAAACCTTTAAACGGCTCAACTCGGCTTAAAAATGGTACGACTCTAGGAAGAAAATGGCTCGAAAAGCTCGGCTCGACGGCTCAATTTACGGCTCGACTTGGCTAGAACCCAGGTAGGGACGCGAGTTGCTGGTTCAGGTCGTGCTATAGGTCGGGTCGCTTGCTTGAAAATGCGTCGATCCTTTGGGATTAGTAAGGCCAAAACGACGTCGTTTTCAATGGGTATATAAGGCTAATTCTCAGCCTTTTCAGCATAATCCTTCTTTCCCCTCTTTCTTTTCTCTTGTTTTTTTCTTTCTCTCTCTAGAAGCTGAAGAACTTCGGTTGAATCTTCACCAAAATTTGAGAAAAGTCATCAGAATTTGGGTTGGTTCGTAAAAAATTCACCAAAAAATTTAGCCGATGTTGAAATCTATGCCGAATTTTGGGTAACACGTCGAAAGGTTCAACCAGCGTCAAAAAATTCAATCGGCGTAAAAAAATTTCGTCGAAATCTGAAAATTTTTCAAAAAAATTTTTTTATTTTTTTTTCAAAAGGCTCCATTTGTTCTCTACTTGTTGTGTTTCTATATTTCTTCTGTGATTAGCTTTTTTTTCTGATTTTTCCTCTCTGTGTTTCTGCCTCTGTTTTGTTCTCTATTTTTTGTGTATGTTCTTCCTATGTGTTCTAGCGTTTATTTATAGGGATTCATCAAAAAAGTTTCTGATCAATCTCAATTCCTTTTTGTGATTGTGATTCAATCTTTGAATCCAATCAAAACTATATCAGCCAAGTTTTATGGAAATTCAAACACCTTTTTTTGTTTTTTTATATTTTTAATTTTTTAATTGTCAGAGTTGATCTTGTAGACCTCCAAACCTATTGAGGTATTTACAATTATGATATCATTTTCTTGAAGTTAGAAATCAAGAATGGTGCTCGAAGAAATTAAGATTGATGTATAATTACGTATCTGTATAAAAAAAAAAAAAAAAAAAAGAACAAATACAGAAAACGGATAAGCCTATGTGTGACTTGACCATTGAAGGCTATTGGTGAACAATGACATTTTATAACGGTCTCTCTATTGATTCAGAAAGTCAATATATACCAGGAAAAATGGCTTAATGGGAATAAAATTTCAAAGCTACTAATATGGGAAAGTTGTTGTGATAAAATTCTACCTAAAACTTCATAATTTTTCCATGGAATAACTTTAGCTTTTTTACTACTGTTCCCTGGCAAAAACAGCTTGATATATGATCTTCAGTTTGACTGTTCCCTGGCCAAGCTTTCATAGTCCATACTGCCTTTTAATCGGCAGGTCTGCAGGCTGATGATAATGAATGATGAATTTGTTCATCTACTAATTCAAGATTCTGGAGTTATTAATCAGTCAAGGGAAAACTGACAATAATTGATCTAAACAAGAGAAACTGGAAAGAAAGCAGACAAAAGAACAGAAACTAAAAGGGTTTATAAAAGAGATATGTTAATTCGCATAATAATTCTAAATAGTATCCTTAATCATGATTTCGTTTCATCGAAGAAATCAAGAATGATTTTGAGAAAAAAAAAAAAAAAAACTCTCAAGCCCAACCGACAAGAACAAATGTATGTATGAAATGTAAAATTTCTAGCAATCTGAAAGTTACTGAAAGCTATGTCATGTCATGTACATCCTGCAGGCACCACATGATGCAAAAGACAATAATAAAAATTCATACTATAATCGCTTGATCATATATTTTATCATATAAAAATTGAAACATTTCTCATCAATTTAAAATTTTAAGATAATAAAATTCAGTGGCAAGAACCCAGATTGATTTTAGCTAATATCTTCTTGTTAGACGTATTTATGAAGATATTAGCAAAGTTGAAACCTGCCTTCCAGTAAGCTCATGAACGCATGACAAGTGAAAACATAGAAAAATCAAAGTCTAACCAACTCAACAAAAATTGGAAATAAAAGCAAATTTAATGGAGCAAATTAATGAATTTCTCTCACTGTTGTTGAGCTTATGTTGTTGCTGCGGCAACCATCTTTTCAGGCTTTAGACCAATACTTTGAACAAAGAGCAACCTTCAGAATTATTTGAATGGACTTGATATATAAGATGCATGTATCTAAATGACAAAGTAGATTAAGTAATGCTACATTTGCTTGCTTCCATGATGTTAGTGCAAAAGTGCCATCTTTCTTGACATGGAACTCTTCATTGCAGTGTGAAATAGTTGGGAGGGATCCAAATGGTTACGATGGTTGCATGCGGTCAATTTGCGGCGTGCATGGCCAGGTTTGTCTTCGCCCTAATTCAGCAATGCTATTGAAAGTAGTTTTTGAGTTTAAAAATTACTTTCGACTCAATCTCGATCCTAAACAATAAAAAAATGACTTTTCAATTGGAAGTTTGATTTTGCAACTCAAACCAAAAAGTTGCTCCAGAAATGCTTTTACCGTTAAAAAATATTTATGGAATAAAAAATTACTATATTATTTTATTTAATTTTTAAAATATTTTAAGTATTCACAGTACTTTTTTACAATAATACTAAACACTTAAAATTTTTAATCACAATTTTTTAACCTCAAAACTTTTTATAATCACAATATCAATACTAAACTGGTTCACTTGTGTCTTATCGTTGTTTTTTGCCGTTGTAGTAAAAGGTTCAATTGGATCTTTCGACATTGTTTTAAATTGGTTCGGAAATTCTTCGCGACAATGCCTCCTTTGGATAAAATGTTGAATCAATGCCGTTCAAAAGGCTTTGAAGAAGCAGGCCTTCTCCAAAGAAACCTAATTTTGGAAACAAAACAGAAATAGGAACTACAAAAGCATTGTTTCTTATTAAAAAAGGAGAAATTAAATTATAAAAATTAAGTTTTGAATCAGTGCTAGGCATTGCTGTCCACCGGTAAACCACTTTCCTCTTAACAAATCATTATTCTCTTGTATCATGGTTGTGCCCAAGATTTGTACATTCGGAGGCATTTAAAAGCATTTAAGTTTTTCATAAGCAGAATGGTGTTAGGCTTCACTATGTTTAAAATTTCAAAATTCAGAAAATTATATCCTATCAATTACAATAATATAATACAGGTGAATTTCTTGGTGGCTTCCAGCACATCCGTTGCAATACACAACCAGAACGAAGAGCCAGGTAAAACTGTGACGCTACTGACGAGGCTTGACAGGCACAGCCACAGCAATCAAGAGGCAGACATTTTCCATTGATTTGAATGTTAAAAAAATGGCGTATTAATGAAATGAGACATCTATGATTACAAATCAGGATGGTGCAAAAAGGTGCATTCCTAGCTTCCTACTCCACCAGGTTTATATCTGCAAATCATCCAAAGAGAATTCATGTGCTGTCAGCAGCTTCAGTTTCTGTAGATCATGACAATAGAAAGTTAGGTTAGCTGTCGAAGAATTCTGCAAAGTAGACCGAGAAAATTGTGGGTGTTGGAAAACCAATACCGTGATAAACTGTGGAGGATCATCGAGACTTGTGGAGCCTAAAACTACTTCCCTGTTCAACTTTCCCGTAAGCTTGTGACAGACTCTTAGCTGTGCATGAAGAATATTTTAGGAGACAAAGTATCAGAAAAGTCAATCTGAGATTATAAATTTTTCATACCTCAGATCTTGTACCTCCACCTACGATAAACACAAAAATGCGCTTGCCCATCTTCTTGAAATCACTCGATGCATGTCTTAGTACCGAATCACTGAGACGTGTAGGAAAACAAACATTAAAATGAAATCCACCGAGAAATAGCATCAAGGATAAGAAAACACAAGGATAATGCACAACGGTCCTGACAGTGGCATTGACGGATAAAAAGTCATACATCACAGTTGACTAATACAGGTGTGAAAAAAAAAACAAAAAAAAAAAAACCAGAAAACCAAGGAGAAAGACTAAAGGTAATTTCTACATATACATGGTCAGGACCTTGAATATCCATCATCTGAGCCCCGAGGCCGAGCCCAGGTCGGTGTCCTCCTTGATCTCATGGAATGAGCAACTGTAGCTTCATGTATAGATGCTGCTTGAGATGTACTATGGAAAGTTGGACTAGGATCATTCATGCAAGGATAATCATCCTTTGATAGTTCTCCTTTGCTAAGTTTTTCAACAAGCTCCTGAAAATGAAAACAATTCACATGAGTAAGTAATCCATCTGCCATGAACTCTTAAAATGTCAGATGTAAAGTTGCAATACTATCTTTTTACTCTTTTGGATAAGTTGTTGAAAAATTTAGGAGTAAATTATATAACAAGACAATTGTAATGATAATCTCCCATTGAAGCTTATTTATTACCAATGAATTACTGCTTAAAGATTTGGAAAGCATGAAAAAAAAAAAATCTCTTTAGATACAAACTTGGAATTAGAAGTTAATTGAGTGGAGTTGAGATGTATTAGCTGATTATTAATATTTTGGAGGTTTGGACATAGTGTAAAACTAAATAAATTGGAAAAGTGTACTGCAAAAAGAAGTTTAGATCTTTCTCATAAACAAAACCAAAATACATAGAAAAAGATAGTTTTCCTACCAATGCCTACAACACACGAACTTCTCCAAGAATAACAAATAATACATCATCATATTATCAAAACAAGTTATAACATTTAAGTTATTCTAAGGTGCAGAGATTATTTGAGTCACAAATGTTAAATAAAATGGTCCCTGAAGAACAAACCTAAGTCTAAACATACCTCTATTATAGGGTAAAAGCGTGATAATTGCCATGTTTCTTGCTCACCACTGCGGTCTTTCCTAGCTGCACGCTTCTTCTGGCAATTCATTAGCAAAGGAGCAGAGAAAGAATGAAAAGAACCCATATTTATTAGCAAATAGCAACAGCAGATCAACCACCATAAGCAAAGGCTCAACAAGCAAAACATTTACCTTATGCATGTCAAACTTCAAAGAAAAAGCACCTGTTGAACTTTTTTTGGTATCTGATGGTGGTGCAAGCAATCTCATATTATTCACAGCATTCATATCCTCAGGTGGTAATTTTGCTAACTGAAAAAAAAAAAATTTAAGCATCAGGTTGGAGAAACATAATTAGCAATCTGTAAACTGCTTGACTTCAAATCCCTAAGGGAAAAGAATAGTGTTGTAAGCCTGTAAATAGGAAGGGGGAGGAGGGAAGGGTGCGGATGAAACAGAAAGAACAAACATAGAAAAATATAGCAACCTTCATCAAATTAAGACCCTTTTCACCCTCAAACTTCTCTGGGTAAACAGCCGCAAGAATCATCAACAAACGCAACTTATTTTCACGAGATGCTTCCTGCAAAAATTAGTATTTCTAGTTTTTACAAACGTTGACAAAGTAATACATCAATTTATGCTGGTAAAAGTTCTTACCTCATTTGTAGTAAAAAATTTAATTACATCTTTCATTCCTGCATCACCAAAAACAAGGTCTTGCTCCAGTTGCCCAAGTTCTCGAAGTCCTTGATCCCTGATAAGTCGGTTGATTTTTCCAGCAATCTGCAATTATAAAACCAAATCTGCATGAAGCCATGGATCCTACAATATATCTTTGATAGTCAGGTGCATTTTCTTTCAGTTATAAAATATCATGATTCATACATCTGAAGTTGGTTAGGAAATGCATGAAGCTTCACTCATTAACATCTGTCTTTTTAGTAAAATATTGGCAGCTCTTTCATGAATAGAAGGTATAACTTGCAAGTTAAGTGTGTAATCATGTCAGAAAAAGAGATAGCAACCTGGTAACACATGCAGAGCTTGAACAGAAGAAATGAAGATTCCCATGAATCATCCAAATATTTAAAATGTTTGTTGGTAGAATGCTGGACTCTAAATTCTAATGACCAGAAGATTAGTGTTCAAATTCTGACAGCTTCAAATATGAAAAAAAAAAAAGAATAAAATTGGTTCAAAAAATTTTTTAAACAATATTTAAATACCCAATAGGATAACAGCAATAGTGATGCTACGAAGCTAAACATAAGTATCAAAAAGTAGCATCTAGAAATTCAATGCAAGTATAACAAAGAATCTGATCATTCAAAGGAATAAAAATGGTGGGTACCATAGAGAAGGCTGAAAACAAAAATAAATAGCTTCTCTTTCCAAACGGGTGGGGGGCAGAAATCTTGGGCAAATAACTCCATGCTTTTGCACAGACAAGAAACTAACCTCTACATGAAGGGAGAGCTTGTCAATTTGTTCACTGTATTGTGGCAATGCTTGAACCATTTTTTGTAATTCCCTTGTAGAAAGTTCACTGCCATCTCTATAAATATGTTGAATTTTAAGGCAAGAGAAGAGTCATAACATAAGTAAAAGTTCCATATAAATTCACTGTAGAAGATGTTACAGCTTCAACATATTTAACATATTTTACTCAATCTTTCAGCAATTGCATTGCAGTATTAATAATTTTTCTAATTTGGCATATGACCATGACCTCGTAGATAAATCATAGAGCTGACAACTATCAACTTCCATAATGAAATAATGAATCTTAGAACCATATAATAAAGATACAAAATCAATTGAAGCAATTTTCTATAAAATGGATCAAATGATGAATAACTATTTTATTTTTACAGCATCGATGAAACAATCAGAAGGTGCCAGGTAAGAAGATAGTATATTCCCTAGAACTTTCATCCATATCATGAATAAAGCAAACTCAAAACAATATTTACACGAACCTTGAACCATGTTGAAGTTGTGCAGCTTTATTCTTTGATACAAAATTGGTCATCTTCTCATGCAACCTTTCACTAGCCTAAGAATACACCCAAGGGTCAATCAGGATTCAACATGGAATGTTATGTTGGTCAGACCTAGGAACATTGGACATGGGTGTGGGTCATACATGGGTGCGTTCAATTTTGTTAAAGTTTTTCTATCTACGTAGCAGTCAAGACACCATATCAATGTCCAATTTGCCATGTCAGACAAGTGTCCAACATGAGCACTTGAGGTAAATGAAGAATCAGAGCAATATAGGTTGTGAATACAATTTATAAAAGCACCATACATACATCTGCTATATGTGCATGGCGAAGCTCTAGCCATATTGGATCATGCTCCTCCAAAAGAACGTCTTTCTTCTCAGGAGGGCCTCCTGTTTTGCTTGGAACCTAAACAGTACACTTGCTTGATATACAAAAACCAAAAGAAAATTCCCAGTGAATTCAAGAACACACTGAATCTAACAATGGAACATACCTCATGCACATATTTATTCCCCTCCATATTCAGTAGATCATGGCACATGGCATCATAAGTCCACTCATGTATGACAGGAGCAATCTAGATATGGAAATTAACAATTTATCATAAGCAAATTGTACAAGTATGCAATGCAAATATCATTAGATCACAACCAATATTACCTGATCTATAGATCTATCGAGGATGAGCAACTCGCATGTTTCCTTCTGAGGGAAGTTAGGAATTGATTTACATTTCACTAGACAATTCCAGATTCCAGCTGCCAGCTTGGTGGGAATTAGATCACGAAAAGTGGTCATGGTCATTGGATCAAGAGACTTGGCAGCCCGGTAGCGAACAAAAGGAAACTCCTGATAAATAAACATGTTTCAGAAAATTTTCACTACATTTGAGAATCAAGATTCAAAAACCGTTGCATATACCCTTAATGAAGCAAAAACTGTAGCAATGCGGGTAGCCATCACATTCAAACACACATCACCTTTGTGAGTATTTTCCTCATCACCAAAAAGGTCCTCTAAAGCCTTCCCATTATCAGTGATGAAACCCTGTGGTGAAGAAAATCACAGTTAACATGATAACAATAATGATAAACCATTACCATCAATTAGAGAAAACAGCTTATCAGACAAAGTTCGAACATATAAGCTCAAATTAGAGTTATAAAGATACACTAACTTCATCATATGCCATAAGAAACATAGCTTAAAACTCAAGGTTAAAGTCTTTCAAAACCATCTTCTTCCCAAAATAGGACATGTCAATGGTTATATAAAAATATATAAATAAAATGCTTATTCTTCGCCAAAGTTTTTCAAGCTTAAACCACCAAGGCTTATATAAGACTCGTTTTTTACCAAAATTTGCATCTCAAATTCTAACCTTGATGTTTTTAGATGCAAGTTCCGAGCAAATCTAAATGAACTGATCCACATAATAATGTGAAAAAGCCACATAGTCCCTTATATATGTTAAAAAAAAAGGATGATGATCACTATTTTAATTGAATTTGTGCAATTTTAATTCTGAACATATGCGTCATCTGTATGGTATTCAACTAAGTGACCAAATCATATACCTGACTGTCTATTGCAAAGTACTCCAAGTTCATCTGCATATGCCAACCAAAAAAAAATAGCACTTACTGACAACTCAATAATCAATAGAAAAAAAAAAAGAAGACAAAACAATGTGACTAGTTTGCACAGTGCAGATTGCTTCAAGCACAATGGCCAATCTAAAAACAAAAAACTAACCTCACTCAATGCACCTATGCGAGGCAAGACAGTTGAATCCTTCTTGATGTGAGCAACCAATTCTCTTGAAATAGGTGAGCTAAAGTAAACAAATGCCCTTTTCCACATACCAAATAAAAGAAAAAATATATCAGAAGCTATAATATTCTCAGAATTTAGAAGATATAACCACACATATAAGATTATATATTAAGTAAAAATCTTTCACATACTTCTTGTATAAGGGTGTCCTTCCAGACATGTCCGACAAGAACATAGTAACACTGCAAAAGTAAATAAGTGAAGCAATAAAGGGTGAGGAAAAAAAACCACAAGAGAAATAGGAGTATGTTGCATTATGGCATATAAGTCTCGCATAAATGATTCTATTAACTGATTAACAGAACTAAATCGTGTAAAAGAAAAATATTCATGCATGCATCTTTACTAATAGGGAAAGTTAAATTAGAAAATAGAATAAAATAAGGCTTCAGTAGGTAAATTTCTGATATTGGAAGTATTATATGAGGTCATCTAAGATATAGACAGTCAAGTTATGAATGTAAACATAGGATGGGAAAATGCTCAATAAGGTGTCGGCAAATGTTAGAAATTGAATTATTTTTATGCTCCTGTAAATGTAAAATTAAATACGTGTAAAGATAGGGGGAATGGACTAAAATGAGATCCACACATAAACCCCAGCCCAAAAGGGAACATAACCACCCCAGCTAAAGACTTAATAATTGGAACTCAGTAAAGGGAAGATATATTACTTCTCTTTGGTTGGTTGAATAAAGTATATAGCATCCATCGAAGGCAATGGCTGCCTACGTCTGTATATATCTTCTACCACTGCACAACAAAACCAGAACCATTAAACTTACAGGAAAAAAAATGATCCTTTAAAATTTAAGGTGATGACGTATCTTACGCAGTTTATTATTATTTCATTTTCCGTCCTGCTACACCAATTATTATGCAACAGTAAAAAAAACAAAAGATAGAAAAGTTCGGCTTACATGAAACTCCTTCTGCTGTGATGTCAGCCATCTTGCAAGAGTAAGACATTATCTTAACCGTAACTTTGTCCATGATTAGCACCTACTTAGAAGGGATTGAAAACAAGAGAAATAAGAATGGCATTCCTAGCAACTAGTAAACAATACCAACAGAACATAGCCAGCCAATAAATGAAAAAAAAAAAATCACAATTAGATCAGCATACCTTCCAAGTAGATTTTGAATCCTTCATTTTTGCAGAACGAAGCATTTCGTATAATAACCCTTTACATAAATTATTAAATCAGTTCAGCCACCCACAATTAGTCAGCAACAAGAACATCCCCAAAGAATACATGAAACTAGTAACAAAAAATAACACACAATCCAAATAACATAATAACCTTGTGTTTTTTAAAATGACAGAAAACAAAGGAAGAGCAAACACTAGATGAAGCCACCTTGCCAAGGGGCGGTGACATATCTAACTATCCGGCACCTCGCTTTTAACATGCACATCCATCCTTGATAATACTAGTCAAAACACCCCTAAACTTCTACAAAGAACACAAATTGCAACTATTTTAAAATTCTTTTCTTCATATTTTCTCGTTCCTATCATGCATTAATTTCATAGAGAAAAGCTAATGACAAACTCCTATACAGTATAACCAACTATAGCTCATATAAAAAGTATCTCTCCTTCTCATCAGAAACATCGTTCTTACAATATAGTAGTTCTCAGCGACAAAAAGGAAGACGAAAATAATACAGCATATAGCACAGTCATAACTCACAACACTAATTCTTTGGTTTTTCAGTCTGAAATTTCACAGTTGAGAATATTATTAACTTAACTGACAAATTAATTACGAAAATAGACAGTTGAAATTTCACGATTAAGTTCAAACTATAACTAACAATTGTCAAACGAGAAAGAGCATTAGAAAAATTATTAGAGAATATTAATTTTAAGTTTAATCCGGATTGAACATGAAACATTAAACAAACAGAGAATAGAAAGACTTACTTTCACGGCTAATTTGCCTGAAATTCTTGTAGTCACCGGCGCCGGAGGAAGAGTCGGAATCCGAATACGACATCGTTTCCAGAAACTTCGATTAAACGATCCAGTGAAAAGCAGAACCGGAGAGATGGGGCTCGAGGAGTAATCAAAGCAGAAAATGTAAGGGAAAAAGAGGGGGGAAAGGAAACAGAGCTTTGATCAATTAGAAGTTAATTATTATTATTATTATGAAAAAAAAAAAAATAGAAGGAGAAAGGGAAATTATTATTATTATTGTTATTATTATTATTTTCAATTTCGGATGACGTGTTGACTGTTGACAAACAGTGAAACGGCAAAAAGCATGCAGATTTCACGTTTCCGTCACGGAGACTCGTACCTGGCCAAGGTAATCTGGACCGACAGTGGTCGACGTGGAGGTGAAATTACTATTATGACCTTATTCGCTTGCCTTCGTTGATGATTGTAATTGCATTTCTATGTTCGGAAATTTCTTCATTTCTTGGGTTTTACGATATTTTCCTGTTGGAAAAGGTCCGTTGATTTTTTTTATTAAAAAAACAAAAGAAACTTCTATTAGATTTTTACTCATTCAAGAATCCTCTGTCTCCTTGTAATTCAATCTACTTGTTTTTTCTCCTTAATTTATAGGAAAAGTATATGATTTAAGCATGATTGAACCCGTTTTTTAAAAAATATATATCTTATTTAATTCATTTTTACATATTATTAAAAAAATTAATTTTATAAATAAATTAATTAACTGATAAATTTTTATTTTTTAATATTTCTTAAAATATATATCATTTTATTAATCTCATTTATAAAATCTAAAAACTTTATTACTAGAAAATAATTTTTTTATTAAATGGTTTAAAAAATGAACTCTTTGTTTTAAAATTTTCTTTTGTTCGGGTCAATAATAAGTTTCGATTAACAACTATCATAAAGAAACTCTAAAATTATTTTATAATAATTATAATAATAATATCATAGTATCATGTCAATTGGTCACATTGCACATTATTTTAGCTAAGGTTTTCATTTTTCACATTTTTCTTCTAACTTTTTTATAGGGAATAATTTGCATAAGAGTTTTTGTTGTTTTGGGTTGGGTGTTGAGCAACGTTTGTAAATTGTCGGGGCTTGGCTGACCATTATAAATTAAATAAATAAATAAATAAACACAGAGCAAAAGTTTTGACTTTGGACTTTGGAGGATTATAATAAAAAAGCCCAGGCCATTTGTCTTCATATCATACCGGCTGATTAGGTGCTGTTCATATAAGCGAACAAAAATAGATAAAACAAACGGCCGACAGGCGACATGTCGCACGAGTCGACTTCTAAATTTTAATCTTGGCTTTTTTTGATGCGTCGTGGAAGGACCAATGAGCCGATGTTCCGTATTTCACGGTTTGCTCATGATTCATTAAATGTATGAATTTGCTTGTTGCTTTTCTTTAGCGGAAGAAATTTGAAATAAATAAATTATTTAATTTTTAATTTAAATAAAATATATGGTATTTAATAATTTAAAAATAATAATTATAAATGAAACATTTAAAATAAATTTGATAAGAGATCATTCTGAACTCCAATCAAAATTCTTTACATCCAAACATCCAAAAAAAAAAAAAAGCGATTTTTATCAATTGAAATTGAACTAAGCTTTTAATAGCAGAAGATCCAAAAATCCTTCACAAGATAAGAGTCCAATCTACATGTGACATAGGTTTTTGGTTTCTCTTCTTTCCCTTTCATTTCTTCTTGAGATAATTCTATCCACGTAGCCAAGTCCCACAAAAAAATTATATTATTGGAGAAACTTGGCCAAATTCAAAACAGATAATACAGAGAATAAAACAAAGAGAACAAGAAAAGGCCAATTCTTTACTTTAATCCAAGAATCCCCTACCCCTTAAATTCCCTGCCCCAAAAACTCAAAGTGGTCTTGATCAACACCCATTTATCACACATATAAACCAGCACCAAAATATTACAAAGTGCAAAAGTAATGGAAGGGATTTCAATTTTTAACTCAACCTAATTAAATTTAAAGGCTAATTAGGAGATGGAGATAAACCCTTATCAATTAAACTACTATCGAGATTGCTATAGTACCTGCAAAGAACTTTGCACTTGACCACATTGCCATAGACATAGAACCCTGGTGTGATCATGATCCGGACCATGCTTGGAACCAATTTTCTGGCTCTTTCTCCACCCATATCCTCCATGTATACTGAATCAAACTTCACCCCCTTATCCACCCTGAAGATTGGCAAGCCAGGGTGCACCGAGTTGGCCAAAAGGTGCACCAACCACACGCTTTTTGACGCACCAAAAAAGGCTTGCAACAATGGCTCAGGCCAAGCTCTGTTCCACCCCAACATAGCTACAATTTCACTCATTTTCCTGTCACAAAACTTGCTGAACTCCTCACTGAAATGCCTTGTCCCTTTATTCAGAACCTCCTCCCATGTTAAACCTTGTAAATCATGGAATGACCCGTAATTGGCTTCACAGCGATCAATAGGGTTCAATATTTGGTTCACTGCATTCTTTTGAAACCCAATTGATTCAAAATTTTCAAAAAAAGCCTTGTTCAACAAAGCTTCTAGGCAAAGAAAAAGGCTTTTGGGGTTCTTCGAGTTAGAAATCTTCATATCATACGGCTGTAAGAGCAAAGATATCCTCTCACAAACTTTGCTACCCATGTGCCTTAATTGCATGGTGAGTGATCTACTTAAAAGCCTGATCGAAGATCTAGCTTCAGAGATAGCGACCAAGAATTGTTGAATTACTTTTTCATTAGCTCCAATAACTCCATCTTGATTCTTCGCTTGATGAATATTATGACCTTTACCAATTCCATAAGAAGAGTTACCGTTACATTCATCCAGACCAGACTTCAGATTATGACAGTAAATTTCAAGCTTGTTAAGCTTCTTCTCAAGCTCAGCCATGGAATATTTCAACCTTGAAGCTTCCAGCAATGCTTCATCTCTCTTTCTTGTAGCTTGAATAAGCTTGTGTGACAGTTCTGCAGCAGCAGTTTTCCACTGCTCTTCTCTGACTGTACTAATATGAGTTGATTTTGGACTCTTTCTTGTTAAAGAATGGAAAATGGACTTGAAAATCCCATTAGGACTTGCCATGGAAAAGGAGTGCTTGTTAACTCCATTGTTGTCCAAAGGAACAACGGAGATCTTCTCCCTAGAGTGTGGCCTGCACTTGTTGCAAGAAACTGAACCATCTCCACATTCATTTTCGCCAGATCCTTGACGTTTCCTGAAGTTGGCTTTTCCAATGTTTTTGTCACGGAGGGGTGATGGAAGGTGCTTTGGAGTCACCCCTTTGTCCATGCTTACACTTGGGGTAGCATCTTCTTGCTCCTCCCTTTCACACTCTTGAATCTGTTGGACAAAGAAAGGAAAAAGCAAAAGAAAGAAACTTTTCATCAGCCAAAACGAAGGAGCTTTAAAGATTACCCAAAACAAAAGGTACCCATTTTAACTATGCATTCTATCATTTTGTTTCTCGGGAAACAAAAGGAAAAACTGAATTGTAAACAAACTTACAGGAGTAAAAATAAGGGATTGGTGAGATGGAGGAGGAGGTGGAGGGGATTTGGAGGAAGAAGGAGAACTTGAAGAAGAAGAAGAAGAAGAAGGAGCCATGTTTTTATTTGGTTTTCACTGAAATCTATGATTGGGTTGAGGGGGTTAAAGTTAATGTATTCCTAATATCTTTAAGAACTCAGAATCGTGGAATATGGGTTGAGCTTTTGGGTGATGTTTTTCACTCTGATTTATCGTTTTCTTTCATTTTCGAAAGGGGTTTGATTTTTCGTCCTGGTTGTGAACCAGAGGTGTGAAGGAGAGATGTTATGGTACGATGCGTGGTCAATGGACAGTGCTCTGCTTGAATTAGATTTTTCTGCATGAAAATTCCCTCTCCTTGGCCCTCGAACCACGTCGGAGACCAAATTAATGTGATCGGAAAAGTATAAATAAATATTTAAAAAAGAAAATTAAACCAAAAAAAAGTATGAGTTAAAATTTGATATCATTATTTGTATAAATGTTATGCGTTATTAATTAATTTTATATAATATTTTATTAATAAATACAATAAAAATAATTAAATTTTTAAAAATAAATATTAAAAATTTACTTATTAATCTCACTCATAATTATTTTAAAAGACTTGGTTAGTTTTTATCTTTTCATTAATAAAATATTATTATAAAATTTATTGATAATATATAATACTTATATGCTGTCAACATATCAAATATTAACTAAAAATTATTATTGAAAGTGATTAAAGTGAATATCGATCCTCTTCTAAAAATTATTAATGAAAGTGATTTAAAAATGTTTATGTTTTTATTGAATAAAATTAGTGGTAACTCATGGAAATACAATGTTTTATTAAACAAGTTGTATAACCTCCTCCAGAAAATATCTTTTGTTCGTGTGTATAAGGAAGTAAATCATTCTACTGACTCTTTAAAGAAGTTTGGAGTTCATAGAAATTCTGATCTTGTAGCTTGGTTATAGATCTTATATTTCTTATTGATAAAGTCTTTTTTAATTAAAAAAAAAAAGGAATGAAACTGGCTATGGTGTTAAAAAATTTTAACGAATTTAGCCCATCTTTTACGATAAGCTATCACTTTTAATCAGAATCAACATTTATTCTATATTTAGGAAAATGCTTCAATAAGAAGAGAGATCATTAACTAAGATAAGAAGGGAATTATACATATTGATGTTAAAGTGAATTGTTTAATATTTAATAAATTTTTAATTTTTTATAATTTTATATTTAAGTTAAAAAAAATTTTATTTATAATCAGTTAATTTTAAGTTGAAAGCTTAATATGATATCAGAATTAATTTTTTTTTCGTTGTCCTTTCTTAGTTTGACATATGAAAATTTTTTTTTATTTTCATCTATACGTTATGAGAGCTTCTTAAAATATATTATCTCATATCTAATAAATTTTTAATTTTATATAATTTTATATTCAAATTAAATTTTTTACTTACAGTTAATTGATTTTAAATTAATGATCAATGCAATATATAGTTGAAATCTTGTTGCTGTTCATTCATAAATGGCATTGTACCTACGAATCAACATGCACCCAAATTAATGAAAGTTCTTGATTGCATGGTTTACATTTGATTAGGTTAATTTCAAGCTCAAAAACATAAGATTTTAATGAAATATATTACTAAATTTCAAATTGAATGAAAGGGAAGAAATTTGATTTCAATATGATAAAATGCATTGAATTTTGAAATCATAGTTTGATGATTAGATTTTTTTTAGTGACCAATAATAAAATACCTAATATCATCAATTGATCAATATCTATGATTATAAGGTTGGTGATATGATGTGACAACTAACAATTATGTGCAGTTGATAAGTTGTTAAAAATTAATTTTAACACCATTTTTTGCACTAGCAATAGTTTATTTTGAATTTTGATTTACAAGTTTATATTTGCGTTATATATATGTAATATACAATTTTTTTTTATTTTAAAGTGACTTGACAGACATAATAAATTTTTTAATGTTTATATTTTTGAGATATTGAAAATTTTTTTACGATCATAAAACATTTCACAAATATTCATATAATACAAAGATTTTTTTAATTACATTGCTCATTTTGAAAAAAAAAATACAATTAGATTACATAAGTTTCGAAAACAATTATATTTAATTGCCTTATTTTAAAAAATTTACATATAGATTATATAGGTTCCAAAAATAAAAAAATTTATATCATTTTACTTAATTAAAAGAATTACATTAATATAAATTTCGCAATGAAGCTTGGGTCTTTGTTCTTGTTCTAATAAAACCAAGTCATCAGTTATGGTCCCAAGGGGCCCATGCCACCCATGTTTCATTATAAAAAATGTAAGCAACAAAGCATGCACCAAGATTTGCCCTCTCCAACACGTAAAATTTTCCATATTCAATCGTGTTTGTTGGCTATTACTCTATTCAACCTTCAACAATACCGGTTCGCCAAGGCCTGGCTGGTCCATTCCAATTTCATCATGAAACCCTAAAATAGGTTCCAGTTTAGGTGGTAATAGTAATTGTAGAAATAGAAAGATAATGAAATGGCTATACATATACAAACAAGAAGAGTTGGCACGATGATGGTTAGAGTCAACTGAAATAGTTGGAATGGGTGAAGATTGGGAATTGAGATAAAAGATAGTGTACGAGATTTAATTAAAGTTTTAACTTTCTAGTTTTTCATTCATGTTATGGTACTATTTTTGTCAAGTCAGGCACCAACTAACTGATTAATTGATCACCAAAACCCTTTCTGCAAAAAAATTTTGGTCATTTCGATTCTCATCAGCTAGGAAAACTGGATGAAGTGTTGTCTGCTAGAAAAACCGAATAAAGTGTTAGGAAATCAACACGTGGGTATAGTATCGACACACACAAAACAATAAACTTAAAATAAAAATAAAAACATACAAATATATTTGTTTCGATTCAATCCAAAATGATTTATTCTAAACCTAATTCACTAATAAATTAATATTTACAACTGTGATACTTTTGAAATGAAAAAAATCACAAAAAGCTTATTTCTTAAAATTTAACCTAAAACACAATTACATTCTTTTAATAGATTACTTATTTAACTATTTTCTTCGTGTTTTACTATCTAAAATTATTAAACTAAAATCAAAACATCTTATTTATAAGATTGAAACCCCTTACAATTTTACTAAATTCTTGATGTATGATACAAGATAAACTCTAACTCTTGTAACTTTACTCAACTTTTAATGTGGGATTAAAAGATTCAAGACAAACCTCAATAAATTTTATCTTGATTTAACTATCTAAACACTTTGGCAATATATGCAAAACTAACATGCTTGCCTTTCTTATTTTCTTTCATTACAGAAATCCCGACAACTAAGCCTCCATTAAGCATGTACAATAGATTTTTTACTATATTCCCTTGTAAAATCATACTACCATTATTTTTCACTTTCAACCAATCATTGTTATCATAATATCTATACCCCCGAGAAGCTAACTCACCCAAAACAATCAAATTATAGTTATAACTCAGTACACACCTTACATGATGAAGTGTCCTAACAATACTATTGTGAAATATAAAGCAAACACTCCCAATACCTTGAATCTGTACATTTTTTATTGTTGGTAACCATAATATCTCCATACTTCTCATTCTTATCTAATTGCACAAAGCAACTCTTATTATTACAGACATGAATTGTAGCAACTAAATCTAAAACCTAACATTTATTACCCTTTAAAGTCTGAATTTCCTCTACACAAGTTGTCAAAACAACATCATCACCATCGAACACAACAGCAGTAATATTACTTTTTTTATCTGATTTTTTTTTATCATTCACCTTTTTAAAAGCAACTATATCATTTTTCATTTTCTTACAATGCACTTGAATATGTCATTTTTCACCATAATAACAATATTTTATATCATTATAATCTCTGCCTTTTGACTTGAATATCTCTCTCGTTTCATCAACCTTTTTTTGAGTTCTCTCTTAGTTTCTTGAACCATCAACCTTTGATCCATCAATTTTTTCTTGAGTATTTCCTCGATTAGAACCCTCTACAACCAATACACTCTTTATAAGTAATGAGTTCTACGTTTTTATAAATATTTTGTTCTCATGCAACAGAGTAATCATATCATCAAACTTCAAAGTATGCCTACCTATTAACAAAGTCTGAACTAAAACTATATAGGATTTCGACAAATATGACAACAAAATTAAAATATTCTTTTCATTTTCTAACTAATCAACAAAAATAGCCAATAATTAAGAAATTAACTTATTAAACTCATTCAAATAATTATAAAAATTCGTACATTTTTTCATATTCAGAGAATACAAAGCTATCTTCAAATATAATATGTTAATCAACTACTTCAAAATGTAAATAACTTCAAACTTATCCCATAAATTCTTCAAAGTATTTTCAATCAACACACTATACTTTACCTCTGGGATTAGTATCAATCAAATAATACTAACAATTTTTCTTCTGAATTATATTCTAATTACTGTCAGATATTCTCAGGTTTAATACTTTCTAATGCCTGATCTAATTTTTATTATACTAACAGATCTTGAATTGTACTTTATTATAACATAAACTTACTATTTCCATAAAATAAAAAAATTTTAAACTTGGACATAGGCATACTAGACATACCTTATCTACTTGTACTATCTTTATGACCTTTTAGGACTACCTCTTATTTTTTTCGAACCTCACAAAAAAAAACACATAAATTTATTTATTTTAGCCCAACCAAAAAATGACCTATTCCAAAATAAATCAATTAACAAATAAATCTTTATAATTGTGAAACTTTTAAAATGAGAAAAGTCGCTGAAAACTTTTTATTCAAAACTTAACTCAAAATTTAATTACACCATTTTAATAATCTAATCACTTAGCTATCCTCTTTATGTTTAATTATCTAAAATTAATAAATTAAAATTAAAACATCTTATTTATAAGGGTGAAATTCTTATAACTTTACTAAACTCTCAATGTGGTATATAAGATAAATTTTAACTCTTATAACTTTACTTAATTTTCAATCTGAAATTAAAAGATTCATGGTAAACTCCAACAGAAAGAACAACTAAAAACAAGACTATAAACTATTTATTAATTTCGAGCTCTGAGTTAAAAGATAAAACTTTGAATCTATAAGAGAAAGAAAAAGAGCAGTTAAAAGAAAAAGTTGAGAGTTTTTTTAAGTATTTATACTTTGATATTTAAGTCAAAGATTGACATAAAAAAATGATAAAAATGAGAAAGTATGAAAGGAAAAAAATATGAGATATCTAAATAATACTTAGATGTTTTTTTTTATAGTTAGAGGTGAAAAATTTTGAGACAGTTCACGATTAATTTTATAATTGTGATAATATGATAAATTAGACTGATTTAAATGTAAACCATTCACTCAAAAAATAATATATCAACATAAAAAGAAGTCCTTTGAATCCGTTAATAAAATGATCAAATTTTCGCAACATTATATATATTAAATAAATTTAAAAATCATAAATATTTCTAATTGTTTGTTGCAATGTCTAATAAAATAAACCCTTTTATTATTTCAACCCAAAAATACCTTTAACATTATTCATTCTAATTTGGTTTTAACGAGACAGAAAAAGTGAAAAAACACTTGGCAGGTAGAGGGAAATTCATGGGACCGACATCACAGAAATATTATAAGCAATTATGGGAATGTAATCTTCTCAAATTTATCGAACAAGTCTAAACAGTAGTCGAATCCCAGTCATCAACGTCAAACATTTATTACAATATTGGGGAGGAAGGTATGACATTAAAGACCCTCTTAAATGTATTTCTCTTCCGTATCAAAATCCTCACCCACTAGCATTAATTGATTCCACAGAGATAAATGTCTCTCAGTCACTTAGGTGGTCCTCGAATCCAACAACCAGGTCGCGCCGTTGGACCGATCAGCCTTGCATGTGAGAGTAATAAATTGGACAATGGCACTCCGAGAGAGAGAGAGAGAGTGGTCCTTGTCATTGGTATGGCTAGCTAGGCTGACGACAGCGGCTGCCAGCAGAGTTTCGAGCGCTGCTTTGGTTAATGCGTCCTCCGTTTGTGTCTTCCGTATGGAATCACGTGCACGCGTCCACGCTTTTCTTCCCTTGCATGGGGCTGATCTGAAGCTGGTTTCTGCTACCTATGTTGGTCGATTGGTTCGTATTTTGCCTGTATGTGTTCTCAAAATGAAATTCGAATTTGATTTGTAAAAGTTAGAGGAGCAGTGGAGTACTAAACCAAATCCAGAAAGCCTATAACACCTTAAAAATTAGTAGTAAAATTATTAATTGTACAAGAATAAATATACCCCGTTTGGTATTGCAATTAGAGTAATTACGTTTAAAATTTATGATAAAAAAAATCCAGTTTTAGTGAGCTTTGCTCTTAAATGCAAGATATTTTAGTAGATTGATCGCAAATATTCATCTCATATATTTACCATTAAATGATTATATATATTTGCATTAAAACCTTTTACTTTGAAAATAAAAGTGTATGATAAAAATAAATACCAAATAATATCTTAATACTTGTCCAAATAGTATACGAATTTTTCCCTACCGTTTAAGAAGGGAGATGGAGGATGGGTGCTTGCTTGATTTAAACTTTAAATTAGATATAATAATTTAAAATACAATAAGTAACAGAATATAAAAATGATATGAAAATAATATAGTTTAAAATTTTAACAAAATAAAAAAAAAATATATTTTCGTATTTATATAAATTATAATACTTAATTTTTATATAAAATATGTTATAAATATATAAATTACTAATATTTTATATGATATTTAAATTATTAAATCTATTTTAAATCTATGACTTGATTATCAAATGCCAAATATCAACTCAGCGAAAAAGGATTTAGATATTTTAATAAGCTTACAGCTCGCTTAGGCTAGGCCCAATAATAAACTGAAACCGAAATCCATAATAATTGAACCAAGCCCCACGATCTTCGCGTTATTCAGTGCTCCTGGTCCGACTCCTCTTAGAAAAATTTTCGGCCCAAATTCTGCTTGGGTTCAATTATGATTGTTTGGGTTCGTGGGATTATTGGTCGCTGCTCATTATGGTCCAAGACCAAGTCTCCTTGATGTTAAAACAGAGTCACTTTAACTGATTTTACGAGGTTTTGTAACTTTTGTTAGTTGAATTTTGCTCATCGTGTGTTTGCTGGATTTTTGTGAATTTTTAGGAAAAAAAAGTTAAACAAGCACGTAATTAAAAAAAAAAATTATAAGTTGCTTTACACGTGCGGATTGAGGGGGTGAAATATCTCGTAGAACTCGCGCACGTATTAATGTGACGGGTCGAGACTTAAGCTCCGAACTTGCGTGGTTTCGAAATCTTGACATTCACTCTTTCGGCGTCTTAGATCATCCTACCTGCCACGATTCACATCCTTATGAGGTATTATCCGTTCTGATCCTCTGATCTCACGGTGATGTGAACCTTTATATATTTCAGTGACCCTCTTATTATGTTCGATGTGAGATTCAAGACTCTTCCTTAGATCCGTGACATTCTCTCACACTCAATCTCGTGACGCATTTGTCACAGAAGCTGACCACCCTGCCTACTTTTCTCGAGTTGCTTGACGTGTATCGAAAGATTTAAGACTGGCTCTGATATCACTTGTCAGAGGTCGAGACTTAAGCTTCGAACTCGCGCGACTCCGGGACTCGGATATTCATCCTTTCGACGTCTCGGATCAATCTATTTACCACAGTTCACACCCTTGTGAGGTATTGTCCGTTTTGACCCCCTAACCTCACACTTTTATCTTATAAAAAGTATCACACAAAGTAAAAATAATATAAACTTTTTTATATTTCATAATCTTCTTATTATGTTCTATATAAAATTCAAAATTATTCTATATGTCCGTGACGTTAAGCTCGACCGTGACACTAAAACCTTCCATTTCTTTCTTGCAAATTGGACGGTTTGTCATCCCACAGAAAATCAGAGATACCTGAAATTCACCCCCACCGCCACCCCCAAATCAGCATTTCCATCCATCATCAGAGCAATTAGGGTTTTGATCCTCCCAAATTTTGCTCCGATTTCCCCTCTTTTACACTCTCAATCTCTCTCCTTTTTCTAAGGTTTGATTTCCATTCAAATTTAGCGCATATGCTACGTTGATCACGTTTCATCCAATCACTGATTAGTTTATTTTCGCGATTCTTTCATACAAAATTCTTCATCTTCTTTTTTTTTTCTTTTTAAATATGCTTTACTCATTTTTTGAACATTTATTGTATTTGATGGATGCTTTATGTCAAATGTTTCTTCAAACTTTTTTGTTTTAGGGTTTTGATTGATCTTTGCTTCTGAAATGTGATACGGTCGCTTTTGTTTTTGTTTTTTCTATTTTAAATATTGTAATAAATTATTAACTTGGAGTAGAATTGCTTTTGTTGCTATATTTGTGATATAATCGCTTAGCAAAATCATTAAATTTAGAATGATCAATGTTATCTAAGTAATTAAAAATGTGTTTTTCATTTTTGTTGTTCTAAAATTGATATTTTATGTGTTTTTTCTTTTCAGAGTTCAGAGGGTATCAGAAAATGCAGGGAGGCAGAGGTGGAAGGGATCCTTTCTTCGATTTTGGTGACCCCTTTGGTGGTTTTGGGGGCTTTGGTGGTCCTAGGAGTTTACTCTCCAATTTCTTTGGAGGGAGGGAACCTTTTGATGACCCTTTCTTCACACGCCCCTTTGGGAGCATGTTTGAATCAAGCTTCTTTGGCCCCGGCCAAAGTCCTTTTCTGAATATGCATCCAACTGGGTTTATTGAGCATCAGGCCCCGGAGCCAAAGAGACCAAGGTGTCCGATTATCCAAGAACTAAATTCTGATGATGAAAAAGAAGTAGATAAAGAGATGAAAGAAAATCATAGAAAGCACGGTAGGTCGAATGATGAACCTTATGTTGAGGTTCCAGATGATGAAGCTGAACAGTCTGAGAGAAGGAACAGGCATTTGCAGTATATGGATGGTTACAATAATTCATATCATAGACAACAGCAACAGCCTGAAACTCGTAGCTATACGTTTCAGAGCTCCACTGTCACTTATGGTGGTGCTAATGGAGCCTACCATACTTCATCTAAAACAAGGAGGGCTGGAAGTGATGGAGTCAGTACTTCGGATGTTTAAAATTATTTTCATTAGTAAGCCTTTTATTTTTTTGTGTTTTACATCCCTCTGTTGTGGAATAGGTTACGTTTGAGGAAAGCAAAGAAGCTAACACAGCTACAGGTCAGGCAAGCCACCGGGTTTCTAGAGGACTTTACAACAAAGTAGCTTCCAAATCTCATTTCTCTTGGTCAATCTAAATTTTGACTTTGTTTTATGTTATCGACTGTGGGTGATTGTAGATCGTATTTATGATGAGAACTTTTGTCGTAGGGTCATTCAGTCATGAGAAAGATGAATTCAGATGGGTGGGTGGATACGATGCAAACCTTGCACAATTTGAATGAAGGTAAGTACATGTTATATGCAACAGTGTGCTATGTTATACTTGTTCATAGAGGTATACTAACTGATCCATGGCAGTTAAAGTAACTGTTTTGAATTGGTGACTTTTTCAGATGAGCTTGCTGGTTTTGAAAAATCTTGGAATGTAAATGCCCAAAAGCATTTGCCTGGCTGGTCTGCAAGTTTTAATGGTCATGATAGCATAGGTAAGATTTGTGGTACTACACTTTAGATATGCTTTTTTCCTGGTAATTTTGCGTCATTTGTTATCTGGAAAAAGTAAGACGTGCCTCTTTTTATCCGTGTGATTGTTTCAGCAACACTCCTTACTACTGTATGGTTTTCAACTGTTTCAGAGTATATGTCAATAGTGGATGTGTGAGGGGGGTACTAGTATGGTACAACAGTAGCATATAACTCTTTGGCAATGCGTTTTACACCTTACAACATGAAATCATATTTGTTGCTGCAATTTTTGTCTCAGGGACTGGCCGCAGTGGACAGAATGGGCAGGCTGGTTGTGGAGGATGGGCACTTCCTTCTACTGAGCTTTCTCAGCAGTCAGGGGAGTGATGCTGGATGCCAGAAACAGGGCAGTGTCCTCACACAGCCAGCAGTCTACAAGGATGAAAGGTTCGACAGATTTTAAGGATAAGAGTTCTCACTTACAAGGGAAGCGCAGGGTCTAAGCTGGAAGGCACTGAGTAAATCATGTGGCGAAAAGGGCTTTGCCTTTTCTCATACAGTATCCTATGCTTGGCCGTAGCCATCGTTTTTAGTTAAGAGCTTTTGTTTTCCCTTTAGTTTTCAGCTCTTTAGTTGCATATTATATCACGCGTTGCTTATGAGGTGGTAAATGCAGAGAGGTTAGACAATTACTGCAAATGATGCCCTTCTTAGTACTACGTATGTCACATTATAATCTCTTGAGTTTTCATTGTATAAAACTTGCAATTTTGAGATGATTGCAAGTTCGTGATTTCTTTCTTATGCTTTTGTTCACTTTGTGATGAATTTAACGTTGCTGCAATGTTGTTTTCTTGTGGATGGCTTCATGGCTTCTTGATCCTAGTTCTATCTACAGGGAGGACAGAACATCAAATATTGAACAAGGCAGTTATATTGTTATATGCCGATGATTGGAATGGGAACCCCAATTTTGGGTTTTTAGGTCTGCCTCTGTTTAAAAATTTTCTAATTTATGGTTAAAATCCGTTATACCATTTATACGAAATACTAAGAGCAAGAATGGGTGGTTGCTTCAGGCTTGTTTGGTTCAAGATAGAATATAAAAAAAACGAAAGTAAATGAAAGGAGCAAAGTGTAAAAACGAGAAAAAAATGGTATTTCATGAGTCTATATCAAACTGAGAGAAATGAGTTTTTCCAGTTTTTTCTCTGAATATGCCCATGCATGAATTGAGTGCCCCTGATCCTCCAAACTCTGAAGCCAGTGCTTACACCCTAACTTATCCTCTAAGTATATTTTATAGTTTAAAATATAATATGTTGGTGATGCAAATATGATATGAAAAAAAATAAATGATACAAACATAGTGATAAGAATATAATATTAAAAAAAACACAAGAATATGAAAAAAAAAATGATATGATTTAAAATTTTAGTAATTAATAATAATTATATATGAATTTAATAAAATTAAAAATATATATTTTATATTTTTATATGGATATAAATTATAATACATAATTTTTATGTAAAATATAATATGAAATATAAATTTTAATATTTTGTATAATATAAATGAATAAATTATTTTTTCAGGATATGAATATATAAGTAAATTGATCCAATCTAAAAATAAACTGAAAGCCCACATTCCTTCTTGAGATTCAATTTTGTAGAATATCAGTTGTTGCGTTCTCCAAAGTCCAAATAACGTGTCAGTGTTACGAACCAAAAGCTCAACCGAAGCCCACATGTCACTCATCGCAACTGACCCATGCCAAAGACCTAAACCCCTCTGTCCTTCTAACCTTAAACCCCACAAAAACGACCCAAAACTCCATCCCAAAACGACTCCAAAATGAACCGTTTTAGAGCCTCCCTTCTCATCCACCACCGTTGCCTTCATCACCTTCAAAACACCGGCCTGCTCTGCTCTCACTTAAAATCTCGGTCCGTAATCCGGTTTTCGGGATCGGACATTATCAAATTCCTTCAGGGTCTTTTATCAAATGACGTACGGAGGTTCAGTGAAACCCCATGTGAAGATAACTCCCCTATTCCTACGTCAAACGTGGCCTCTGTCGTAGTTCCGCCTATGTATGCAGCTCTTTTGACGCCTCAAGGAAGGTTTTTGTATGACTTGTTCTTATATAGGCCGCCCCGCCCCGAGGAGAAGCTGCACAGGACTGGGTCGGGTCCTGGTCGTGGGTCGGTGGAGATTTTGGCTGATGTCGATGGGTCGGTCTTGGATGAGTTGTTGGCGACTCTTAAGAAGTGGGTATTTTTAGTTTGGTTTTTCTTAAAAGATTGGATTTTTTTTTTCATTTTAATTGATAATATTGATTTTGCAAGAATAATTTCCTGTTGTTTATAGCTTCTTCATTTGAATTATTTAGGATCTAGCATCCTCAGATTAAGGATCAGGGTCAAATTTTCTGTTGTTTTTAGCTTTAATTAAAAGCTTTCTTTTGTGTTTCCAAATTCTAGTAGCTGCTTTGCATGTTGCTTTGATAAGCCTCTGCTGGATGGACCTATATTTCAAATCTGGCATTGAATAGCCATGTACAATGCCTTCTTCGTGAACTTAGAAATTCTGTTCCAGAACATGCCTCAATCACAGGTGACCAAGTTTAAAGCAGATAAGTTATTCTTCAGAGTATTATTATTTGTTAAATTCACAATCAGCATGAATCCTACCGTGTTGCTGTTTCTTTTCAATATGATTTGCTGAAGAGATGAATCTGAAAATGCTCTCGTATCTTTATGGCATTGACAATAATCCCAGCTAGTGATGTGTGCTTGTCTTTTATAGTAATTTGAACTTTAGAATTTTTGTTAATGTTTGTTCCTGTTTTTGCTGTTGCAGATACCTGTTGAGGTCTAAAGTAGATATTGAGAATGTGGCAGAAAACTTCTCTTGCTGGCAGAGGTACGGGCGGAACCTATCTGGGAAGACCCCAGCTGTTGAAGAACCAGAGGCAGCTTTGGTTGGGGGAGTGGTGTTGATGGTTCTGGGAAAATCAGTTTCACATGGCAATGATGTTGGGTGGCAATGGTTTAAGGATCCCTGATTGCATTGTCTAGGTTTTAGGGGGATTTTTCCATCTGGTACAATACGTGAGTTTACCGAACTTTATTGCTTCTGAAATTTATTCTTGTTTTTATATTTTTAACGTAAGTCAGTTGCTTTGAGATAATAACCAATCTAAGATGTATTGTTTCTTAAGAAGTCATGCAATCTACTTGTTGCTTAAACTGCAAATTTTCACATTCTTTTGTCTGTTGCAGCACCTTTAGTCGAGTCTGATAAAGAAACAGATGAAGAGAATTGCCTTCTATGGAGATTAGAGAAGGGTGTTGCAGAGGGCTCAACTGAAATTCCAAAAGGTGCTTGTCTGCTTTGTTGCTAATATATACTTAAGTTTCTTGAATATTTCTTTCATTTTCTTAACTTTTTTTTTTAACCATGGCTAATCTTCTTATTTTTGTTTCTTCAACTTATCATGAGATGTTTCACCTTCCTTTTCAGAGTTTGGATGTATATGTCTGGCCTTTTCTATTGTGACATTGTCATTATGTTTTTTAGGGGAGGCAATTCCACTCGAATACAATTTCACAGGCCTAAATGCGATTAGCTTTGATAAAGGTTGCTATGTGGGGCAGGAGCTTATAGCTCGTACGCACCACAGGGGGGTTATTCGCAAGCGTTTGCTTCCTTTAAAGTTTCTTGATAACAGTGAGAAAGGTAGTCTCCCCCCACTGGGCTTTGATGAAGTTAATTATCTTGCAACAACACTACTGACACCTTTCTGTTATTTCAGATGTGGAGGGGAAAGTTACACCTGGTTCACAGGTGATTAACACTGCCTCCAGAAGAAGGCAGGGAGTGTGACCGCTGCACTTGGCTTTCGTGGAATGGGTGTCTTGCGGCTGGATGAGGCCTTCAAAGGGTCTGGCTCATTGACAATAGAGGGACGGGGGGATATAAAGGTTGAGGCAATTAGACCAGATTGGTGGCCTACTGAATGGTTTCAAGATCAACAGCATACCGCTGTTGCATAGACTGCTTTGATTGCATCTTCGACTAGGCTTGGCATCTCACACGGTTACAAGCAGTGTTACAACCTGTTAGAACTTTATTTTGCAACTGCTAACTTGTTTACAAATTTTTTGGTTCTCACGAACGGTTAAGACGTGCTTAATAAAAATGTCTTGAGGATTCGGTATGACAACTAACTTGGCTGCTGTTATTTCCAATTGTGCTACTTTGGTGCTACGGTTATAAGCAGTGATGGCTGCTAGTCATCACTAGGGAAACTACTCCCAGAATTTTCCTATCTGCGAATCCACTTCACGATATTTGCCTTCTTTTCACACCTCATAATCCCTGTCAAAAGATCTTTCAATAAAAAGCAGTTTCAGCTATCTCTTTGATCCAATCATCATCACTTTTTAAGTTGGGAAAAGAGAATGCCCATCAAGAACTGATGCTGCTATCATTTAGCTCTTTAATTATTGTCTCCATGCTTGGTCTATCATTAGGGTGTTCATGAATGCAATTAAGTGCAATTTTCCCGAGCTTAGCTGCCATGGATTCAGAAAAGTCTCCTCTGAGATTTGTGTCCATAAAATCTTCAAACCTGCTAGATTCTGCTCCCAACCGCATTGAGCTTGTGAGTTGAAGTTTACCAGACAGGATTTGGAGAATAATCACCCCAAATGCAAATATGTCAGTGTTCTCTGTAAAACGACCGGTGGTAATGTACTCTGGTGCTAGATAACCCATGGCTGCACTCACTTTCAGAGTTGAGTAGACAATGTCATCAGCAAGAATCTTATGCAGACCAGAGTCTGCAATCAATGGGTTGAATTGCTGGTCAATGAGAATCTTCTCTACAGATATGTTGCGGTGGACTATCGGTGGCTTGTTTGCTTCACTTCTGTGCAAATATTCCATACCTGTTCGAACAAAATACAAGAACATTAGTCAAAGAGAAACATATGATGGACTCTCGATCTTTTATGCCGCATAAACCTGATTTGAAACTGACCTTTTGCGATGCCATTGATGATGGAAATCCTTGTCGACCAGTCAAGAATCGGTTCACTTCCGTCATTTAGATCGACATAGTTAGATAGGTTTCCCTTGGAAGCAAAGTCGTAAATGAGAAAACATTCGCCTCTGCCTTTTGAGAAGCAAAACCCTCGCAGCTTAACAAGGTTATCATGTCTCAAGGAGGTTAATAAGTTCAAGCCCTTAACAAATTCCGCTTCCTCAGACTTGCAGCTGGTCACATTTATGCTCCTAATGGCTACAACAGAGCCGTCTCTTAGAATTCCTTTGTAGACAGATGAGAACTTGTTCCTTCCCAGAATATTCAACTCGGAAAAGCATTGAGTTGCAGACTCAACTTCTTCTATATTGAACCTAAATTTATTCAAATGCTCCTGGGAAAATCCAATGTCATTCCAACCATCACCTAATGGATCCCATCCATTTGAATATTCAAGAGTTACAAGTGGCGAAACACTTCCATTTCTTTGAAATTCCTTTGCCTGGTCAGTGCTGAGGTGCTCATCAGAAGGGTCAGATGTATTTCCAATCTTTTGTTTCTGCCTACGGTAGAGAAAAAATGCAAGAAATCCAGCAACCATAAAAACGAAACTAACTGGAATAACCCCTGAAATAACAGGTATCTTTGGGAATCTCGATGGATTTGAGCAATGAGTATGGTTGCAATGTCCCTGGTTATTTGATGTATGTGAGATAGCTCCTGGTGCAGTGTCATTTAAATGTGATCGGACAGGTTCAAGCTGGTTGATGTTCTGAGTATCAAAACGAGTGCAACCTCTCACTGTTGGAAAGCCTGTTCCACATAGATCTGAGTTGTTCTCACCTTGGAATCCTCCGTTTAATCTCTTCAGACCTTGGTTTTCATTCATTACAGACAAAATCAATTTTAAATTAACATGAAGAAAAAGAATCATTGAAGAACAATATTCAATTCAAGGGGTTACCCGAAGGGACGTTTCCAGATAGAGCATTGTTTCGGATGTCTAGAATTTCCAATTGTGGAATATCAGCTAATGTTGTAGGAATTGCACCAAAGAGGCGATTGAAGCTCAAGTCAACTCTTTTCAACATTCCCAAGTTCCCTAAGCTAGCTGGAATTTTACCATCTAGTCTATTATATTGCAAAGCAAGAACACTTAGTCTCTTCAAAGACCCTATCTCAGAAGGTATATTCCCTGTCAGCTGGTTGCAACATAACTGTAGAACTACAAGACAAACAAATTTTCAGTTAAGATGACTGTCTGAACTTCAAAGGTCGATCAATATCATACAAGATAAAGTAAGTCATAAGATAAAAAACGATTCCATTATTTAACATTTCAAAAACTCAGTAAAAATTGTACATTGGTAAAACAGCAAGATCTTTCAATTTCATGGTCCTCTAAGTACTAAGTTTCTGGTGGGATGCATTATATATACTACGGAAAGGAAAGCAAATTTTATTCTAAAATTGGTGGAGCATAATGCAACCTTTTTTCCATTGTTGAGGTAGCTGATATCAAAAGGGCACCAGAAAAAAAAAATCATAAAGCATGTGATTTCTATGGTGCAAAGTGAAGTATAGGGTCCACAGATAAGCTAATTCGGAAAGCCGAAAAGGAAGATATTCATTCAGCCAGAAACTAGGACTAGGCGCTTGAACGGTTGAAGAAATAATGAAAAGATAAATTGCCAATTTTTCATGATCTGCTACTGGATTAAACAAAACCAAGGGTTGATATTTTGGAACAAACCAAATGACGAACTAACCTTGTAAAGCAGCCATGTTACCAATCTCTGGAGGAATGCTACTAGACAGATTATTAACGTTAAGATAAAGATCAGTTAATTCTTGAAGATATGAAAGCTCTTTAGGTATCTCTCCAGATAAGGAATTGTAATGCAAGTACAAACCGGAGAGGCACTTCAGTCCCGCAATAGCAGGCGAGACTTTACCTGAAAGACCCTTTCCCTGTAACGAAATGTTGGCCACCTTACGGTGCTCATTACAAGCCACACCCACAAAAGTACCGCTGCAAGGGTCACCATCGCTTTTCCATGAATCAAGGACCTTGTTTGTTGGGTCTAAAGAAGTCTTCAGCTCCATTAGAACTCTAAGCTCCGTGTTCCCACGAACCGACAGTGGAATATTGTAGATTGTGAACAAAAGAACGAGAAATAACAGAAACTGAAAGACACCCATCTTTCCCCTTGGCTCAAATCTTCCAGGTTTGCTGTCTTTTAAGAGAATTCTTCTTCTTCGTTTATAATAAAATAAATCAAAGAAAAGAACCCATATCTATCTCTTCCTTGAAGAGTAATTAAGTCTCTCTTTCTGTAGAATTTTTGTTGTAAATCCAATAGTTAATGAAATGAAGAAGAAGATAGTGAGAACAGAAAGAAAAAAAGAGCTGTGAGAAAAAAGAGAAGGAAAGAGAAGTGGAGAAGTGTAGTGCTTAGTGCATGTCAAAGTTGAACAGAGAATGCACAATTAATGGCAACTTTTGGGGCAACTCAACATATTCCCATTCAAAATATAATACCACTTGATAAAGAAATATGGGTGAAGGTATGATGACAGCTAGTCATCGTGACTGTGGCCACAGGAAACAATTTTCCTACGCTTGATTTTGTAGTTTACTTTGATTTAGGTCTGATTGTCAAGCAATGGACTGTGATGGAGTTTCACAAATAGATAATAATTTGGTGGTAGTTTGTGACTGTACAGAAAAAGGATAACCGAAGCAGATGGAGATGATTGACAGTATAGAGATTTATCTTACATTGGGATAATTTTTATTTGAATTAGAGGAAGAACATTAGACAACAATCTTGACCCTCAAACTCGAAAAATGTCAATAACATCACTCAAGTTATTACAATATGTGGCAAAATCAGAAGTAATTGCATATTCTAACGGAATGCAAGTAACATTACTTAAAAACGGTTCTCAATTTCAAATTATCTTACTCAAAAACTTTCTCGAGGGGTTAAAAAGTCAAATTTCTTTCAAACTAGAAATTACTAGTCAATTACAAAGGAATCCCATGCATATGTCAACATAATTGAGAACAATTAAGTAGTGGCAATAAAAAAAGGCACTAATTCTGAATTTCAAAAGTTAGATATTTCTTCATCGGGACAATTGTTCCTTTAGATTGCCAAATTCTGACTATGTGCCATACTTAAACAATATTATAATTTGCAGTTGTTCATAACATATTCTTCTCCTTGTTAATTTGAAAAGTTTTGGAGGTCAATCGGAACTGGGTAGGGAACCTAACAAAACAATGGCATGGCCTCCCACATGGGGATTGACTATAACTCGTGCTTTGTAGAAATCAGAGCAAGAAATAGCAAAGTGCAAACCAGCACCCCTAGTAGATAGATATGATTAGATAAGGGCCAGAAAACCAGCCTAGAAAGTGGTTGAATAACTGGAGATCACTGCCTAATTTATGGAGGGATTTTCTTTCCTCTTCTCCGAGGAGGGAACCAGACAATGGTTGACGATATGTACCTGTTTGATGTCACTCAAACTTGCAATTAGCCAAAATGTTCTTTACACTAGCTTCAAATAAGGGATTCTGAATTCTTGACCCAAAAGCATACTATTCTTTATACAAACATATAGAACTATTCCTTGACCTTGCATTCTCGTAAACTCTAATTCATTGCCCTCACCAAAGCATCATGTCAATGTTTAAGGCATTCTTTGTCGCTAATTATTACTAATGTTTCCTTTCAAAGAGGGAAAAAAAAAGGGGTCCATTTTGGGATTCTCTTGTCTGAATGATCTTTGATCATAAATTTGTTCAAATGTTTTGTTGCAACGCCGACAGCAGATAATGGTTAAACCTGGCTGTCCCATCCTCTTACTAATGACCTTTTTCTTATATGCATAGACGATCATAGGAAAATGAAAGAAATTGTAAATATTAAAATTCAAAATTTAAATTTATTTTGTGTTATCTATTAAATATGATTGTATGAATCGATAAATTTTATATTATTAACTTTGAGTTAAATGGTTTGTTTCATAATAAAATAGATTAAATTTCAAATGTTATTATATGGCTATTCAACTATCGCCATTTACATTTTTCATTTGCATATAAATATGAAAGAGTAATGCAATTAAATTTGAAAAATTAAAACTGAATCCGTCGTCTAAGAGGCAAAAATTCCTTGCATTTTCAAAGAAAGGGTAGTTTAATGTCATGAGGCGCTCTCAAATAAAACAAAACAAATAATAGAGGCAAAACTAGAGATTGGTCCCGCAATTAGACACTATGTTGATATGCAATTAAAGAATTGGATCGTTCAATTAGATCCTTGATCATGGTCCACAAGAAAAAGGAGGTTGTCAACTTTACACTTTGAACAAGTGGAGCCATGTCTTTCATTGTTCTAAAAAAAAAGGTATCAATCTCTTATACATGATCTTATCTCACATGGTGTAATTTAAATAAGAAAGCGAAAGAACTTGGTCTGATGGTGAAAAAAAGGAGGATATCAGGCCATGATGACAATTGACAAAGAAAATCATGCCAATTTTATTGAAATATCATGATATTTTTTAAAAATTACAGTTAAGATTGAAATCTTCAATTTTAAAGTTGATTAAAGTATGAATTCATTCATTATCATTACGCATACCTCCCCATCATTTTCATTTTCTTGATAAGAAAAAAAAGATCAAATTTGTTGAAAAAAGGGCTGGAATTCTAGCAAAATAAATAAATAAATGTATTAATTTTTCTTTTAAGTGTTTGATTGCAATGATTGAACAACCATACGCGTATTTGAAACAAATTAAGTTTCCGATGCTGATATTGAATTCTTAATAGTAAATAAATGCATACACAATACTTATATATATATATATATATATAAAACAAGATTGAAATATACTAAAATTGATATTAGTTTTCATTTAAATTTTATTGTATTTTTATTTTAATACAATTAAATTTAAATATTAATTTTAATTAAATCAAATGAATATAAATTTTTTAAATCTTAATTATAATAATTTTTATTGCTTCACAATCAATCTCACCGTCTTTAGAAGACTTAATCTTGTTTGTTTTTTATCATTATTCTTCGGTCAGGAAATGCATACTGGTTGAGATTGACGGGTATCTAACAACTACTACTTTAGCTTGTCTAAGTCAAATGTCGTACAGACCAATGACCTGCCTTTCCCATCATTTGAAATTTGTTGTTGAGACCTTTAATTTTTCTTCTTTTTTCAACTTGCATGTGCAAATTCAGGTATCAACTATGAACCCTAAAAAAAAGAAAAAGTAAATAAAGGTCAAGTTCTCAGATATGATCAACAAGAAAAGTGTCCTCTTTATGATAGTCATTTTTTTATTTTTAAATTTAATAATTTAAATATATGATATAATATAAATAAAATATAAAAAAAATAAAATTAAAACGATGTAAAATTTTAATAATTATTATATATAAATTTAATAAAAATAAATTTTTTTATATTTTTATATCAATATAAATTTTAATGTATAATTTTTATATAAAATATAATATAAATATATAAATTTTAATATTTTATATAATGTAAATATATAAATTATTAAATCTATTGTTATCTTTCGCTCGACCAGCAGCGTTTCTCCCCATCTTTGAAAAGTAGAAATTATAGCAATAATTTCCATAAACACCTCCTCTGATAACGGGAAGTTCTATGATTTAATGGAAGAATTAAAAGATTTTCCTTTTGGAAAAACAAATATGACTTTAGGCCTTAACCATGGAGCGACGTGTAAAAGGGAGAAATGACCTTATAAAATTGAAAGCTCTAAAAGATATGCTAAAGATGAATCGGGGATTGGTAGTTTAGAAGCTTCGGGCTAATATTATAGGGTATTTTTATTATATAAAATATTAAAAATTTATATATTTATATTAATAAAAATATAAAAAATATTTTTTAAATTTTATTAAATTTATTTATAATTTTTTATTAAAATTTTAAATCATATTATTTTTTTAATTTTTATTTATATAATTTTTGTACGATATTACTATCTCATGTTTGAAATTATTATATCTAATAATTATTAAGACACGATTACAGGTAATCATACCAGCTTTGGGCTGAAAGTTAATGGGACAGATCCATGAACCTTGGGCTGCACCACCACAAAATTGAAATCTGTTATCCTATTACTATTATATATTAATCAATGATACAATATCAAAACTTAGGCATGCAATTATTTATTTATTGAAATTATTATTTATAATTATAGTGTTAATGCTTGTAATGTCTTAATTAATTGAAATCAGCTCTCGATTGGGACCCGTTTCCAATTCTCAATATTCCTGCTCAGAGAATAATTGATGGGACAAGACAAGTCACACTTTATAATTTTTTCTCTGCCATGACTCTAAAAACGACATCGTTTAAATCAAACCATTAATTCGGCACCGTTTTGGACAAGTCTCCGATTCTCACTCCTTCCCTCACGCTCTCACCAACAAAAACATTCAGAGAAAAAAAAGTTACTCAAAGCTAAGCACCCGAACCCGAAAGCCCCAACCGTACAAAATGGGCAAGGATATGAGCGACGAGCAAGTCTCATCAATGAAGGAGGCTTTCACTCTCTTCGACACCGACGGCGACGGAAAGATCGATCCATCGGAGCTAGGGATCCTAATGAGGTCTCTCGGAGGAAATCCGACCCAAGCCCAACTCAAAGCTATAGTCGCCGAAGAGAAGCTAACTTCGCCGTTTGACTTCCCTCGGTTTTTGGATCTCATGGCCAAGCACATGAAAACTGAGCCGTTCGATAGGCAGCTACGCGATGCGTTCAAGGTGTTGGATAAGGATTCGACCGGGTTTGTCTCCGTGGCGGATCTGAGACATATATTGACTAGCATTGGGGAGAAGCTGGAGCCGTCTGAGTTCGATGAGTGGATCAGGGAAGTGGATGTAGGGTCAGATGGGAAGATCCGATACGAGGAATTTATTGCCAGGATGGTTGCTAAGTGAGAAAAAGGTCATTGCTTGTTTTGTTTGTTCTTTGTTTTTGAAGAAAAGTTTTTTCTTTTTCTTTTCTTTCTTTTTCTTTTCTGAGGGGAATTAAGGTTTGTTTGGATTTGATGTGATGGAGGATAATGTTCTGTTTGTTTCTATGGAATTGTTGGAAGTAATGCTAACTCTCTTTCTTAGACACTTTGATTAATGTGTAGTTATGTAATTTATGTTAATATTCTTGTGCTTGGTTTGATTTTGCATTAGAAATTTGCGCTTTCATATTTTTGATGACTTTGTTCTAACAATTTCTTGTTTGGTCCTTTGAATTCTTTATGCAAGGTTGTGTTTTTAAAATGCCTCTAAAATTTCATGATTAACTTCTATGTAGTGTATCTTTGTTACATATTTATTTTCAAATTTTCAGTTATCAAGATAGATGCAAGTTAGGACCCAATTTTTTTGTTTCTATAATTTTTGGTGTATTGATCTTATGGAGTTGGTGAAATGAGATGAAAGGTGTTTATTTTATCTGGATGGCATGCTAAGTATCTTCTGGTAGAGTGACTCCGTCGAGAATAGTTTGTCAATGATTCAAGGATAGTAATTGTGATGGCTAAGATGAAACTGAAACTAGGATTATGTTTTAAGTTTGCCGCTAAAGCTCATAATTCTCAGATGGCATTATGGTAGAGTGCTATCCTTAGTTGTCTCTCCTTAGGGAAAAGGAGGATTGAGGTTAGCACTGAATCCTCCAATTCTGTGAGCCTCTTTGGCTGACCTTCATGGAGTAATAGACCGCAGAGTTTGTGTTATCCTCGTAATTTGAGAGGTCTATGAATGTCCTTCCTCCCTGACACACTTTCACAGTGACATTGATTTTTGCAAACTTCTATTCTTGAATCATTATAAATATGCTCATAGGATTGAGTTCCTAGGAACTTTTTAAAAGTGATCTGTAGGAGGAGCATGTTAATTTATAGATGATCACTTTCAACCATCTTGGCTTGACCTTCTTGTCTTAATCATGGTATGACTTATGGCTGAAAGATAACTGTAAGATTGATTGTGGACTTTCATACCGCATTAGTCAGGACTTAAGTGATACTAATGCCTACAAAGTTTGTAGAACTAGGGTGTATGTACGGAATAATATACTTGTAATGAATTGCTGGAACTTTAGTTTGTACATGCTGCAATCCATGGTGGGTTTGCTATGAGACTTTCTTTCTAGAAGTCTGGGAATTTATGATTGAAGGGTCCAACTTACCTTTTGATGGTTGCAGAAAGGTTTAGAGGAGGAGCAAAGGCCACCACCTTTATCTACAATTTATTTAGAATAGGGTAGATGGATTATTCATAACCTTGTTTAAGCAATCATGTTGCCAGGAAGTGGTAACTTGGCCTTTGGGTCATTTTCCTTGCGTATTTAGAAGATGCCAACTCATATCATCATTCCTTTGATTGATAGCTTTAAATAAGTCTGTGGGGTTCTGATGCTGTGTGATCCATCATTTTATTTTTGGGTTCTTTTGATGTGCAAAAGTAGATGTAGGCTGCTCCTTTGCTTTCCTGTTGCGGCCTCACCGGTCCACCCTTGGATGTTACATTGAGCTTCTTCCAATGCTGGTAGTATTGAGTTGTGGCAAGTTGCCTTTGTGTATCGACACTGACAGCAAACACAGTAGCACCTTTTCTGGAAATGATTCTTGAAAATTGCCAATATGTGCATAGGTATTGAAGAATGTATAAGCACCAGACATTATAGTGCAGTATGGATTTGTTTAGGCATCCCCGGATAGCCAGAACTCGGGACTCAAAACAAGGGCTTGCATTTTGTTGATCTTGTTAACATCTAAATATTGGACTCAAATGATGATATTGGCACAATCCAAAAGGTATAAAAAAATTGGATGAGATGGACGCAATGCTGGTTGCACAAGTTCCTTTCATTACAAAAGCCGTAATTTTAGGAAATAAAGTTAGTCTATTACAGCAAGTGTTAAAATGCTGAACAAAGAGGCAGTTCAAATGTTGTCGAAATACGAGTAAAACAGACAATGACATGCTTAACAACAGAAGCAGAGAGTCCTATCTGGCTGTGTTTCCTTTTGGGGTTCATAAACTGAGATGGGTTTTCACTTTTCAAGGATAAACGGTAGCCAGCGACGTCGTTTAATTGTAGTCCCAATGCTTTTCCCTGATATGAATTAAGTTCCAAATTTTTGTAAGCACAATTTCTTTTATTTTTTTATAATACCAAGAACTTGAAAATAATGGAACATGTGCAACCCCGTTAATGGACAAATGCAGGCTGGTCTGCAACAATTGCTTGTATGAACAACAACAACAACAACAACGAGAAGAAACTGCTAATTTATGTTCTATTTTACACCAGTTGTCTGAAGTTCCAAACATTATTAGAAGTAATGTGCAATGACTCCACATAAAAGGGAAGCAAAAAGAAGATATTAAACTTCCATGTCGATTGAAGAAGGATTCTAGTTGCTACTGTGTGTTTATTCTTCAACAATGCAGAGTGCGTCGAAACAATTGAATTTTCATGATCGATGGAACAAATTTTTGCATTGCCGAGTAGCTGATCATCTAAGCCATGAGATACTGAACTTGCAGGAGCTGGAGGTAACTGACTTTATTCAGAAGTACTTTCAGGATTGCCCCCATCATCTTTTGGTAGGTCATCACGATCCTTCATTTCATCATTTTCTTTGTTAGGGCTCCTACCAGTGCCATCTTTTGGGATGCTCCGAACTAAATCGGGCTTAACTTCTACTCCGACTCATCTCAGGTGCAGCTGCCATGTTTCATACACCAGTTGAAATAACAGTCTTGTCAATATATTGACAGTACTATGAGATAAATCTTGCATTGATATATACACGTTATTTACCTTGAGATGTAGGTTGACTTCATCTGGGCGGGAAAGAAATGGGAAATCACCTCCTGTTATCAGATAAGCTCTCACTCATGTCATCTTTGAGTTGTTGAGGAATTGCAGAGTAATCGTTCATCTTTGAGGCCATGTATAAAACCATTTCAATAATACAGCCATCAGCTAAAAGCCTTATCTTTTCCCTTCAAGTATCAAAACTAAAGGGAAAAGCTTCCTAAAATGAATACAAATGTTGCAAGAAGGAAATTATCTTGTGCTTTAAAACATTTCTACAGCCATGCGGCTAGGAAAATGGGCATGTTAACCTGCAAATTAACCAATAAATCTAAACATTGGGGAAATTAACACAAATTTTATAAAATCACAAATAATAGAATAACAAGATATATTTCATTCATTTTTAAAGGAAAAGGTTAACAGCTTATGAAGACAGAGAAACCATCTTTTCTATTTCTCCTTGTTGAGTTTAGCAAATAAACCTTGTTTCCTAAAGAGCATGAATACTCAAAATATGTTTGTTTGCACACCCATGAAAAGTGAGTTTCTGACAGCTTACACCCATTATAGTAATAAATGAATCTGAAAGTAGAAGAGGTTCAACTGAAGCAGAATCAACTGTCAAAGTCAACCTGGATGCCAGGTCATCTCTTGAGAGTGTTTCAACCTGAAATGATGTCACATATGGCCTCAGATAAAGAAAGCAATCTCTTTCTTGCAGCATATTGTTTTGCATTTTAAAGAGAAAGATACAAAGTGCAGACTTCTAACTGAAAAAGCAATTTACCTACAGAAAATAAAAGGGCTTGTTCTCCTTGCCCATTAAAGAAAGAAAGGAAAAGAGCCAGAGAAAAAGAGAGAGAGAGAGAGAGAGAGAGAATCTACGGAAAACAAACTGTTTCGAATTTCGCCAAACATAAAGATGGTGCACATAACAAGATCCACCTTAACTGATCACATTTTCTAAATCGATAGAACCAAGTTAAAACCTAGAAAAACTATAATTGTATTTGTATTACATGTAGCTTACAGAAACATGAACTTTCCCTTGCCAGGATGACCACTTCTAATGGGAAGAGGATGCAAGTTCACTAATTAAATGGTTGAAGAGTACACAAGGCTGTAATTAAGACAGGTGACTACATATGATAATGCAACGATTGAGAGGATGGCAAAATCAACTCTGCATTTGAAAACTGTGAAAATGCAATCTGTGAAGCAAGATTACTTCAAGATATCATATGAATCCACAACAAGCAAGTGATGTGCACCTCATAAAAAATGATAAAATAACAAAAATCCAATAAAGAAAAGTGGTCCAGGTATTCCTAGAAACCTACCTGTGAAACAACAAAGTCCACAGAATCAGCAATAAAAGGTTCACGAGGGCCATCTGTAATTCCTGTTAAGACATATTGTTTCAACAAAAAAGATGGGTCCAACCAACACTGCATGTGACAAATAAATATATTAAGAACACTTTCATATTTACATTTACATGCAATAAGTAATAAAGATCATACAAGGAGAAAAACCTAGAAATACTTGCAAGAACTACCCAAAAAATATATATATATATATATTGATTTTAAACTTAATACCCAAGAAACTATGTAGAGCAATAAGTAAATTTGTACCATGGGAAGACTAGTTTATATAGAAAAATATATGTAAAAGCGAAAAGCATATACTTTTCCTATCACCCAAGAAATGCATGAGCAAGTGGTTAATTTACAGGTTATTGACTCATTGCAATGAAATTTGATCTAACTCAATGCCACACTAAACTCAAGCATACAGTTATTTGATTTCAAAATGCCAATTAATTTACATCCCACTAAGAGGCAAATCATATGCAAAAGAATCATTGATTGCATAATCCAACAAATGAAGCAGTGTTGATTTAGAGTTGATTACAAGAAATGTAAAGACATACATAGGTGCCCAAGGCATTGCTGCTATTAAGGATTTAACCTGTCTTCGGCGATGTTGAGCAAAAAGTTGAGCTAGGAAGCCTCCAAGGGATGTACCATATAAATGTATCTGCAAAAGACATGTTACTCAATCTACTAAGCAAATGTTACAATTCAAAATGAACAACCAATACCATAAACTTGACTTTAGTTTCAACAGTAGAATCAGCAAATTAGGATAAGATTGCCATTTTAGAACGGTGCAGCAAACTTACCATGAAACTAATAGAGCAAAATATTGTTTCACTTTATGTAGGGCAGCCTATTCTTTATTTCAGAAACATATAATAGGAATAATAAATATGAAATATGCACTGAAAAGGACAAATAGATGCTGTAGCAGGGAAGGAATAAAGGATACGCCATAAACATATTAAGCTGTCACATGGTGAAAATCAATGGCATCCAAGAACTTTTCAAAACTTTAAATCCACTCTTGACGATTCCAAACACAGGGAATATCAACAGAACTCACCAGGTAACCCTGAACATTTGTGAAATTTAAATTATTAAACAAGAAGTAAAAATTCTTCCCAAAGATACTATAATACATAGCTTTCTATTTTTCTCGTAGCTTTGGAGAGATAAAACAGCCTACGTAAGCTCCCAAAGGATTCCTTCCAAGAACTAAAAGAAGCAGAAAGGAAAAACTTGTCAAAAGATACTATAATACATAGCTTACAAACTTCATGTACAATGACACGATCTGTTTGTAGTAGACATCTGCTGTCACTGCAGTTCCAGGAAGACATATGATTGGAGAAACCACTTTGGGACCAAAATCATAATATCGCCACTGCTTTGTGCCAATCTGAGAGAGAGAAGAGATAAGAAACTAAAAAAAATCAGATTCATCACAATTGATAAAAAGTAATAGCAGAGACTCTCCATGATTGTGTTTCCCTTCAAGACACATGTTAAGCAATGCAATAACCAACAAGGTTTGGTCACTTATCAGAAAATCAGAATTTAGATGAAAAAAAAATAATTTAACAGCAGATTCCACTATACACCACATTGAAGCTAAGGAGTTCACAACCTGAGCATAAAGGTTTAAAAAATAAGAAAACTTCAGCAGTAAGGAAAACCAGATAACTACCTACTGGTTAATAACCTTTCAAACAAAGACATGCTCAGTGATATAACAAAGAGAAGTAGTGAATCCCGCCAAATAAGAATTCAATAATTAGCATAAAACAAAAAGCAATCCTTCAATTTTCAAATTGATATCGAATATAAAATTTGTCCCAAAGAGTAGAAATCTAAGCTCATACATATCAGCTATCACAACTTACCAAAAAAGGACATTCACCGTCGAAAGAAATTCACACCCAGCATAAATTATAACATATAAAGCATAGAATTAAGCAAATTCTAGGCACATCCGGAACAACATTTCGCAACTCTGTGATCAGAATTCTCATAAAAACCCACATAACAATAGACCGTAGCTAAAACAAAAACATACCAACTGCCACAATAAGGGTAATCAATAAAACCCATGATTAAAATTGCATAAAAATTATGAAAATTGAAATTACAAAAAATTAGAAGGATAGTAAAAAAAAAAAAAAAAAAGCTTACAGGGATCTTCTGAAGAGGGACTTGGGACTTGAAGTGGATGTAATCTCCCACTCAATCTACATTCATTCCATTCGATTCTATTGTTTCCAATTATTGGGTGAGTCAATTGGGCCAAGCACTTGTTTTTAATCAAGTCCAAACCCGAAAGCTCTCTTTTTCACCCATTTCTATGTTTTTCCATCTTTCCTTTCACAATCCATCAACACAAACAATAATCTCTGCAACTTTCAGTCATGCTTCACAAGTTTCCTAGCATCGTTAACTCAATACAGTCTACAAGAATTAAAACCCTAAACCCATGTATTTTTCCCTGTCTAGATATTGTCATTTTAAGGCAAAAAAGGGGTTTGAGCCTTTAAACCCAAAATCAACTTTGGCATAAAAAACTGCCCAAAACAGTGTTGCGATATTCTGGGATTTGGGTAACAAACCAACCCCCAAATTCATTCCCTCCATTTGAAGCTGCTGCTGTTAAGTTGAAAACGGCGGCTTATCATGAATATTGTTAAATCAAGGGATTGATGAAAGCGCTTCTTGCGAAGGGTGGTTTTGTGAAAATTATAACAATAATTACAAATAGTAATATCACAAAATCAAGTCAAAATAATATAATGATAAAAAAGAATATATATGATGTGATTTAATTACTTATGGATTCTAACCTTTATCTTTTATCTTTGATAAAATTTTATCAATTGAGAGTTATCTAAAGAATAGTTATGCAAACAATTTTATTCTAATGACAGCAATTCAATGTGATTGAAACTCTTTCCTATTAAAAAATAATGTTATCTTCTTATTATTAAAATTCAAAATTAATATAAAAATTAAGTTAAAATGATAAGTTAGAAATTTGAGCAAATAAGGTAATTTAATTACTTTACACTCTATCTTTATCTTCTTTTTTTTTCGATCGAGTACTCTATCTTTATCTCTGAAATTTAACCATAATTTTTTTAAAATTATTATCAAAAACTTTTATGCAATTCAATATAAAAACACTTGTTGTAGAATTATAAAAACACTGTATTGCTTTGCCTGAGGAATTTGACTGAGCTGTGACTCCTTTTGAAGACATCTTGCCGTCCAATGTGTGCCACAATCAATTGACTCAGACTTGGAAAAAGCTGGTCTCACTGTATCCACCGTCGACTGGTTATGGCTCCCTCCGGCATATCATTTAGATGTACAGAGATGATATAGCTTTTGTTTGTCAAAATATGTGCTGCCATTTACTTGGCCTGCTGTCCTAACCAGGGTCATGGAAAGCTTCCACATTATTGGTGCTTAGATTTGTCCTTCATTGATGCTGTTCTACGTTTGTCACTGATACATTGTTCTTTCATTTTTAAATCTAACTTCATGCATGTTATATCTTTAACTACGAGAAAAGTCCTTGACAGAAAGTGATTTGGATGGTCATCTGGTAATATACTTTAGGCTTTGGAGTGGAAACATCTTGAGAATAGGAAGAATACAAATTGCTCGTGGCTGTTGCCCTAATGCATCAGCAACTATTGGAAGCTGTTGAATGCTAGTAGGTGAAAAGAGAACATTATTGTTGTTTATGCCTATCAAAAAGTAATGGCTAAAGCCCCTAGCCATCAGAAGTGACCAACTGCAGCCTAATAATCACATATTTGATAGCTAAGGGTGGTCTTCCAATGATTAAGAAGGGTAAATTTCTAACAGGTCTTTCCTTTTTTGGTAAAAAAAAAAAAAGCTTCAAAATGTAGGTTAACAGAATTGTGTTAGGTTTTGACTGCTGAGTAAAAAATTGATCAAATTGCACAAATAGTCAAGTCTCGTTAAATTTGGTCTTTTGACATCGTGGTTGTTAAACCGAAACACTATCATGAATCGAAAATATATTTTTAAGAATGGAATATCCTACCATAAAGTAGGATAAATAATTTTAAAACTATTACAAATAATATAAATACATGTAAAAAAACAAAATAATAAGAAAAGAATAATTATGTGACAAATAAAAAATATAATTGTTTTTCAAATTTTTAACATGCTCATTAATAGCATATATTAAAAGTTAAAAAATTTTATATCTTTAAGTAAAACCATCATCCATCTCCAAGATATTCCAACCAAAACTGGGCAGGCAAAACCAAGGGAATTCAACAGACAAAAAATAATATCATTCAAAAGCAGATTGCAACAGACACTGATTTATTGAGATAACTGTAAGGTTGAGTGAAAAATGACCCAGCAATCAGAACATCTTTTTGATCTATCAGTCATGAACTGTACAATGCTTAAACTGCTAAAAGAAGCTTCCAACATGTGGAAGAACAATTACAATGCAGCTAGTTTCCCATCACCACAAATTGGGTATAATGTCTGAGAGAAAATGCCCAGCCGACAAGTAAAACGGTTCCTCATGGAACATTACCCTTCCTCGCATGATTATATCAAGCATACAATAAAGTGAATGCTCAGTAAACCTCAAAATGAACACAATAAAAGAAATCAATATTGAAGTAAAAAGGAAATAAAAAAGATTGAGAAAATTTACCAAGAACTCTTCTTCTTTGAACCCAAATAAAAACTGAGGTACCATCTCACAAACTTCTTCAACCCTGACTCCAAATCAGTTGTGGGCTTATACCCAAGTTCTCTCATAGCTAAGGTAATATTGGCGTGCGTAAACTCCACATCCCCATTTCTTGGCAATGGCACTACTTTCTTCTTAGCTTTTACCTTTAAAATCTTCTCCAATATACTCACCAGCCTACTCACAGGTACTGGTGAAGTATTCCCCAAATTAAAGATCCTCAATTGCGCTGCCCCTTTCTTCTTTCCCCCACTTCCGGTGCTCTTCTTTGCCGTATCCAATGCTCCTAAACACCCTTTCACTATATCATCAATATAAGTAAAATCTCTAGCCACACTACCCTTGTCTCCCGATTCATATACAGTAATCGTTTTACCTTTCATTATATCTCTAGTGAAAAAGAAATACGCCATATCAGGCCGACCCCAGGGTCCATAAACCGTGAAAAACCGCAATCCAGTTATTGAAAGCCCGTAAATATGATTATAAGTATGAGCAATTTCCTCACCAGCTTTCTTTGTAGCAGCATATAAACTCGCAGGTTGATCAGTTCTATCTTTTTCTGAGAAGGGTACCTTAGAATTCAAACCATACACCGAACTCGAAGACGCCCAGATAATCGCCGGTTGCGGGTTTGCTGATTTCGAAACTTCCAATAAGTTCACGAACCCAGCAATGTTGCTATGAATGTAAGACCCTGGATTTTGCATAGCGTAACGAACACCTGCCTGGGCTGCTAAATGCATTACGTGAGTGAACAAAACGGCGTCGAAGAGTTGTTGGATAAGACCCTCGTCGTTGATGTCGCCTTCAACGATAAAAACCCCAGCTTTTTCCAGTAATTTTTGGCGTGCCCTTTTGAGGGTAGGATCATAGTAATGGTTGAAGTTGTCGAGGCCAAGGACACCGTCGCCACGGCGTTTGAGGGCGAGGGAAACGTGGCTTCCGACGAAGCCAGCAGCGCCAGTGACAAGGACGGTGTGGCCAGTGGTTGAGCGAGGACGGGCCGATTTGTGGATTAGTTTGTGGGGAAGAGAGATTGGGGTCCGGTGGGTCCCGGTGGAGAGGTGCCAGCCTGGGGATGGGGTGGAGGAAGGAGAGGAGAGGAGAAGGAGGATAAGGAGGAGGGAAAGGAAAAGGGTGGAATAAAGAGTTAGTTTGGTAAGAGAGGAGGAGGCGGCGGAGGAATGGAAACGGAAAGATTTGTCAGGTTTGTTTTTGCCTGGAGTGGAAGGAATGTTGTCGAGGTTTGACATTTGTCCTCGTTGCTTTTAGGGAACAAGGAAATATGGGAATTTTAGGATAAGGATTCTGATTTGGGTATGGAAATGGGAGTATTTAGTTGGTCGTGGAAGTGGTGGAGTAGGAGGAGGAGGAAGGTGGAAGGCTGGTGGTCATTTTCAATAGTGGGTGATTTAGGGGGAGGGGGGGGTTTATAAGGGTTTGGTTGGTGGCGGTGAAGGCTGCGGAAAAGGCTCATTGGGAAACTTTTTATCTTTGATGGGAAATTATTATTTTTACCATAGAAAGGTCAGAGAGGGGGGATGGGATTTCAATTCGAATTTAGATGTTCATTTTGCATATTTTTAAGTCAAACTTAATCAACTTTAAGGGTAGTTGTTTGTGATATCATCTTAAATTAAAATTTAAAAATCGAGGGATTAGTGTTTTAACATTTATTTTTTGAAATTTAAAATAAATAATTGTTAAATTTAATTTTGTTTGGTAAAAAATTGAAAGTGAACATTCAATTTGAAATAAACAAAGTATTGTATTTTTTATTAAAAAAATACTTGTAACTACCTTTTCCTTGATTTTTAATAGTAACAAAGGCAAGCTCCCATATCATTACAGGTTTAATTACTGCTACTATTAATTATAATTAATTAATATTTTCAGTTAAGATATACATATTTTGATTCTTATTGAATTAATCAATTCAATCAATTTAATTCAATTAATCAATAAATTATTAAATTAATTTCAATAAATCATTGAAAATTATTTTGAAAGAACTTCCTTTTATAATTAATTCAGTTCAATAATTTCACAATGATACGACGAGTAGCTTCTCCTTGGTGGTTTTACCTAACAGATCAGGAGACATGATGAGTGCGTGCAAGTTTGATTTCCAGGAAGAGAGTGTTTTATAGCTAATCAAGAATTTTGGTTGGCTTTCACTGCTTTATATAAATGATTTAAACCTTTTATCTGTACGTTATTTCAGCTCAAATATCTTTTCCTGATTCCAGGGGCTTTGGCTTGGCTTATATCGGACTTCTAATTTTTTCACTTTCATGCATCTGAGTGTCTTTGAACAACTAATGTAATGTAAGAAAGAACAAGGTAAGAAGATACCTGCGGAGTTGAAACAGTGAAAAAGGAAACTTGGAAACAAGGCAAGGCTTTCTGAATGGTATCTTGTTTTCTAATTTAAGGTAGGATGTCTCAAATTTTGGAGTTGTTAATCACATTGAGAGAACCACCAAACTCATTAAAGTCTCATCATGAATATTACAGTTGAAGAAACAGAAAAATGTTATATTTATTTTTATGTTTGATTTTAGATCATTAAAGTCAAATATGACACCAGCAGATTGGAAATCTTACCTTAATTCATAATTTTCAACTGGTGCATCTGAAAAGTTTTAGATCGTGAGCTCATTTACATAGTTGGTTGAGAAGTAATTGGAATTTTCATATGGAGCCTGAACTAGTTTCATTTCTTTTTCCTTTTTATTTTTATATTGTTAGCAGATAAACTTCAGTACCATCATTTTCTTTTCTGAATTCAAGCAAGTGGACTTGTTCAAATGCTATCAATGTCAAAGGTAACTAGTATTGGCTCATTTGACAATTATGAAAATGAATCCCAAATTCATAAAAGAAAATGGGAAGTGCAATTTCCGTCAGTGTTGAACTTGAAAGTTTTACATTTGATTGGACCAAATGAACTACCCTCGCTAGTTTCAACACTGATAGAAATAGTTTGAATTTGATCCAAGCTGGTGTGAGCAGACAAGCACCAAGTCCAATGACGTAGATTATGGCATTGTCCGGGCAATTTGTATTGTTTGTATCTGAAATCAAGCAATTTTTACCTGTCCATGGCTGTAGAATTTGGATGATTTAGTCTATAGTCATACAACAATCAATAAAAGCACAACTGTTAAAAGCAAATAATTTATCGAAATCAAATCTACCCATAGGTTGATTTGATATATGTTACATACAATATACATTAATAATTATAACTTGAATATATAATAATGCTACAGGAAAGAAATTGACATTAGACAATTTTATATGACTTATATGTCAGCACCTCATAACACTATTTTATATTCGATAGAGCTCTATGGGAGGCATACTAATAATAGATGGATAATCAACTATATATATGATGCAAATAATCATTATTTCTCATACAGGGATGGTCCTGGTCATAGAGCTCTAGGTTGTTCAATCTAGGCGTTGGAATAACAATCAACGGCGTTGATTTCCCCAAAACAATCCCAAATTTTTCCTGAGTGTCTGGCTTTTCACCATCCGGAATTTTCCAATGGAAAATGTGCAAAAATGTAGCCAAAACATACATCAACATCCTCTCCCCCAGGCGAAGCCCCGCAACCAGACCCAAACGGGATATAGTGAAAATTGTTCCCCGAGTAATCCAGTTTGTTAGCATCACCAAGAAACCTCTTAGGCTGAAGCTCATTAGGATTGTCCCAAAGCTGAGGATCCCTATGCATAGCCCGAGCATTCACGAATACCTTAGCACCTTTGGTTATGGTATATCCACCCACTGTGCAAGCTTGGGCAGGACTGCGAGGTAGCAACAATGGAGCAGGTGGGTGCAATCTTAATGATTCCTTCACAACTGCCTGCAGATAAGGCAATTTGTAAATATGGTATTCTTCAACAACGTTTTTAGAACCCACAACATCTATCAATTCTTCCTGGGCTTTTTTCATTACTTCCGGGTGTAGCATTAGTTCTGCCATAGTCCACTCAAAAGCAGTTGAGGTCGTGCCGCTGCCCCCGATTAGTATGTTCTGTCAATTGAAAATTGAACATATGCATAAATAAATTACATAAAGGAGACTCAATACGCTTAACTAGGAATATGAGAACGTAGAAAAAAGGAGTTGAAAGATGCCACTACCACAAGGAAGCCTTTCATCTGTGCTCGGGAGAGTGACTTTCCCGTGACATGATCTGTGAACTCCAAGAGGAAATCTAAGAAGTCCTTGTTAGTATCATTCTTTTTTGCACCTTGTCCTTCAGATACTTTGTTTTTAATCCTTTGATCTATGACGAAATCTAAAATTTGCTCTATCCATTGTGATGCCCTTTTTGTATCTCTTTCCACTCCTTGCAAGTCAAAGCTTGCCAGACGTGGAAAGAAATCTGAAATATTCGGTTTCCCCAACAAAACAAGGAGTTCTGATACTGCTGCTCGGAACTGAGCTGTAATGCCATCGCCTTTGTCTCCTTCAAGTGTGCCGCCCCAGAACACGCTAGTTATCATGTTCATCACAGTTGAAAATGCTAACACCGCAACATCAACGGGTGTTCCATTCTTGCCGTAGACATCTCTAACACTTTTCTTAACTTGATTTCTCCGAAAAGCATAAAATGCATCAAGATTGGCATTACTCTGCATTTCCTGGACAAAGATCCTGCGTAATATGCGCCATTCTGGCCCGTAAGGCGCAAACGCAATATCATTACCACCAAAAGAGAAAGCCAAGGTTGCAACAGTTGGGTCTCGGTTGGCAAATGTTATGTCCTGGTCACGTACCACTTCTTTTGCCAAAGACGGAGAGCTAATTATGACACATAATTTCTGTCCAATCGAGAGTTTGTAGATTGGACCATAAATCTTGGCCAATTCCATCAACGTTTGATGGATGTTTCTGCCTAGAAATGGGAGGTAGCCAACAAGCGGCAAGCCGTCGGGGCCTGGTGGCAGCTTAACCTTTGCTCTCCTCAGCTTCTTGAATGACAGTGGAAACAGATGCACAGCCACTGCTGCTAGCAAAACAGTGAAAAGTATATGCGGAAGCTTATGATCTTCCGTCTCAAAGATATTTTTCACCGGTATTGGTAAAGACATCGAAATGAATGAACGCATATGAAGGACCAAATGAGAATTAAGAAGAGTTTGGTTTGGAATTGGATGCAAAATGTACCTTATATATACAGTTTGGATGGAAACTATTCCTGTAATTACTCCTAAAGTTCCCATTGGCAATTGGTTTTCTAACATCTTTTGTGATCGATTGCAAGTTGGCTTCTTCATTTCAATGACGTTACCTTTTTTATTTTTCTTCTTTAATATTTATATTAAAACTAGTTTTAAATCCGGGAATACAGATCAATTATATTTTTTAATATTTATAAAATATTATTTAAAAATTAAATGTATTTTATTTCAAAAAATAATTAATTAATAATTCAGATCTAATAAAATTATTCATGATAATAAATTTGGAATCTAATTTCATTAATGGTGGTAATATATATGTATATATTTATATAATTGTATTTACTTTCGTAAATGGTTTTATAAAAAAATATGATTTTTTAAAAAATCATTATATTAAATCTTATGATTTGATATTATTGAACATCAATAAGCATTAGTAGAGTGTTTCTAATAGAGTTTATCATACGTATAAAGAACAAAAATAGAATTTCTTCTAAAATTATCTATAAAAACAATGGAGATCTCTAGTATTTTTTTAATAGTGGGGAATGTCCTTGCAAATCAAAACTAGCTTTTAAATAATCTAATTTTAAAGAAATCATTGAACTATTAAGTCAACATACAGTACTAAAAAAAATTAAATATAAAAATCAAAATCAAAATTAATATCAGAAGTTATGTATTCAATAATAAATATTTTAAATAAATAATTATTCAATGTAAAATACAAAAAATACGTATTTCTTTTTTCTTATAAATGAAGAAACTTAAAATATCTAACCTTGTGTATTAACTATTATGTGTTACCGAATTTATTTCATACTTGCCAGAAGAACGAACTTTGAACATATAACATTTAAAAAAAAAATCAGTCACAACATATAAAAAAATTCAATCGAGAGACGAAAAAAATATTTAATAATTAATCAAAATTTCTCCATTAAACTTAGCATTCAACAAATCAATAAAATTATCATAATACAATATTTAACAAATTGTTACTGACTGTTGCATATAATGCTCTATTAGTTTATCATGAACCCTAAAGTTGTTTATTTATAGCGAGTAGTAAGAGAGTTTTTTTTTTTTTTTTTTTCAATTGAAAAAAGAAGTCAATACATAATATTGATGTAATTGTAAACCAATCACATGTACTATAACCAGCCTACAATCAACGCAATGGAATAGCCTATAGCAATTAATATTTTCCATAAATTGGCAAATGACAATTAAATCAAGTTTACTAAATGTGTATAATCAATACAATATTTTTCATATACAAAGAAAGTCAATTAAATATGTTCTGGTTTTTAACCATAAA